TCATTTCACTGTGGGCACTTATAGGCTAATGATATGATATTTATTTATTTATTTATTTATTTATTACACGATATGATATGGAGACTTAGTCGTCTACAGGGTCAATGCCCTCGATATCATCTTTTAAGTAATGGAAAAGTCTTACGATATCCTTTTAATCTATTAAATGTTCAATTCAAAACACTCATTACGGTATGTATAAACATAGAAATCGTTAATTTATCGTAAAGCAGAATTAACAAAAAAAAATGTTAAGTATGTAATTTCGAATACACGAAACAATAACGATAGTAAGTAGTTACTATTCATTTTAACTACCATATTTATGAGTCTCTTTCAGTAAATCTATAAATCTATTGCACATAAAATTTCTATTTGTATTTTACTAATAGCATAAAACATTTCGTGGTTTCTCGAAGAGTCTTCATTTACATAGGTATATTATTTACAACGATTTATATGTGAATAAGTAGAAAGTGTAGAGTTATCATACTTACCTTTTTGTGGTATAATGTAGTTCGTCTGTATTGTTGGAGGCTACAATAATTAATATAATCTTATACGTAAAATGTCTTTCTTCCTTTAAGCTAAACACTCCCTTAGTATGAATTTCATCTGGTTACTAAAAGCCTAAGAGATGCTACAAAACAAAACATCTCTAAATAAAATACTTCAATAACTTTCTAACAAATGTAATCAAACTAGCAGTTATTGTCAGTGTGTCTCTAAAGATCTGACTCAAATATTATGTTCCCACATGAAAATTTCGTCTACGATTGCAGATTCCGCTCATTGGCGTAGCTAACACATTAAAGCAGTGTTAGCTGTTAAAATGTCGCGCCAGACCTCCGAGTTATTGCAGTAGCAGTAAGCAACATGCACGTTGTGTTGTTATCAAGGATGGCTCAAGGTTTGTTTGTCGACCTTGCTGGCGGGAGCGGTCCCGAGTTCCCCGGCAGATAACACGTCACCGGTGAAATGGCGTTATCCTCTAAAAATCATCGAGTGTGCGGGTGTGCTATGTTTAGCGGGCGCAGAGCACAGGGCCAGCAGCTCAACAGTCGCTTGGAAGACGCGGACGCGACCACCTCGCTCGCTCCAGCGCATGTACGACCCTCGACCACTCGCCCGAGTGAAGTGTGTGACTGTGATTGTGTTCTCGTGATACCTGTGCCGGCCACGCGCTCAGGTACGACTTAACATGCAATTACCGATGGTCGCTTTATTATTAGACCGGCTGTGGGCTGTGGCGAAAATACCGCGATTTTTCCCTGTTTCAATGTTACGGGTGTAGTGTTACCAGCGACGCGTCTGGTTTATTTCTAGTGCGGCGTGGGTGGATGAGTTTCGCGGCAATCTTATATTTTTCTGGTGCGGCGCGCTGTGCGCACGGTGGAGCGGCGCGCGCGCAGGATCTGTACTAAAGCTGCGCGGGATGACCTTGACCCAATTCTCACATATGTTTTTAGGGATTAGCAGTTCTAATTATATCTTGCACTTGCATCGCAGTCACACTGCTGTTTACATTTTGTTGCATTCTTTAGCTGCTACGAGCAATGTGACCTCTTCGCACTGTCAAGGACATAAAAACATACATAAGGGAGCTTTTTGTTTACAAGTTTAGTAAATGGCATCTTAATATACTCGAATCAAAATAAACCGGTTGCCAAGCAATCTTGTTATTGGCGCAGTGTTGCGCAAACATCGAACCGTTTAGCTTCAGTAACTAACTACCTATTATACTTTATGTAAGCTTTGTTCTAATACAGTGTAGATAGAAGTAAATATATACATATCTTTGTTCGTAGAACTAATCTCTTCCAAAAAGTTTCGTAAACATCTCTAGGTATAGATAATTCGATATGAAAATTCATCGAAATTGTTTCTTCGTTTCGTTTTTACGTCGTCAATAAAAGTTTTCAATAGTTATTCAAAATCATTTAATAAATTTTCATTTCAAACAATATTATCCAAGAGTAGACTAATCCCAACAAAATATGTATGATATCTAGACACAAAACATAACATGAGTTGCCGACATCTATTATAACCTTGTCCTAAATAATTATCGCGATTATTTTAAAAGAAAATCCTGTCACAGTGCACTACACGTCGTTATTGTACTGATGTACCATTTCAAATCAAAGTCAAGCTGTCGAGTCGAAAGAAAAACTAATATTTTCTTTTTTCTAATTGCTCTATCGTCCCAATTAATAGGATTGTTAACTCTAAAGCTTTGATATAAAGTGTATAATAGCGTGCATTAAGATCAATGAACAAATGTATTATACAGTCATTGCCCTAATTATTTTTAGATAGGAATTACGACATCGTAATTTTTACTCTAATCCCGGACTTCCAATAGCCAAGTTTATGATTCTACAAGCTTAGCGACAAACAATAAGAAAAACTAGAAAAATACATCGTCGTCATTATTTCGCAATAAAACTTTGTTTTTTTCATTGTGGTCGATCTAAGATAATTTTGTAGTTACACCAAGTAAAATTCATGTGGGTCCGTGCAACGTGTAAGGAACTCTGACCTTTAACTGAAAAGAACTATACTTTAGATTTGAAACGTCAACTATCGATAGTCTTTTGAGTAGTTTTTCGAGTAGTTGGTTTGAATTTTTACCTAACACAAAAACAATTTATTGTTTTTAAATTCTATATACTTAATCAACAACTTAATAAAGGAAAATACTCTGTATGCTATAAATACTAATACTATACTATCAGTACATAAAACCAAGTCTCTTTATCTGTCCCTATGTATGGTTAAATCTTGAAAAATACGCAACAGATTTTGATGCGGTTTTCTTTAATGGATAGAGTGATTTAAGCCGTGGCGGGTCGCTAGTGGTATTATATGAACATTTCTAAAGTAATAAACCTAATTTAGGTTTTTAACGAAATGAAACATCAGCTGTTTAACTCGTAAATAACACGTAACGTAAAGTTTAATCCTTCGGCATAGGGAAGTCGTCTTATGCGTTCAAAATTAATTGGCTAATCAACCGAACAAAATTAATTGCAGGTAATAAACATCGATAAATAAGTAGGTATGTAAAACATCGCGCCCTAATGTTTCGCCTTTTGTAAACAACACAGTTATCTACTTATTTCTCATCTACTCAAATCAAAGTCAAAGTCAAAATCATTTATTCCAACTAAACCATAAATAGGTACTTTTTAAACGTCAAAATAGAGAAGTAGTCTGTCAGTCTGTTCGTCAGTGAAGCTAGGTGCTCATTCCAAATTGTAGATTCGAATGGAGAAGAACGAGAAAGAAACTCCATCGTTACTCTTTTAAAAAAAAATATTGTTTTACAATGTCAATAATATAACATTTAGTATACATCGTCATGTGGTACTTGTCCTCGGAAGCGACAGAGAAGCTCTCATTCATAAGTCAAAAGACCACAGTAAACACTTTTGAACGTCAAGCAAAAAAGGCAGCTGCACTCTCGAGGCGTACTTTAACTTCTGACTTAGCTAACTACAACTTACCTACGAATTCGTGAAATATTCTTATTCTAAACTTACACTTATAGGTGCAAAACTAACATAGCAATCGGTGTAAAGGAAATCGTTCACCCAAATATTTAGTTTGAAATCGATAAATATTACTAAAGTTCTGTAATAAAAGTGAACGGAAACGTCTAAATTTTGCTTTCCGTTCTTGATTTTTAGTTTAAAATATTACTGATAGTTTTGTGTTAGGTAAGCAGCACAAGTAGCCCGCAGCTAGCTCAATGTGTCAAGGTGGCCCAAATATATTCCTCGAGCTGTAGCGTGCGTCCGTACGCTTGTGATTTATAACTGATTCCAATATTACATCAAATTTCTCAATTCATAATGGGTTTCAGCTGAATATCAATTTCATTGTAATGTAATATCAATTTCATTGTAATATAATTGATATATAAAAAATAAACAGATAATAATATAATAAAAGTCAAGTCAAAGTCAAAATCATTTATTCCAACTAAACGACAAAATAGATACTTTTGCAACGTTAAAATAGAATAGTAGTCTGTCAGTGTGTTCGTCAGTGAAGCTAGGTGCTCATTCCAAATTGTAGATTCGAATGGAGAAGAACGAACAAGAAATTTCAACGTCACTCTTTTTTAAAAAAAAAGTCATAGGTACTTACTTTTGAACGTCAAACAAAAAAGAATAATACAAAAACTTTGTCATTCCCTCGGCCTCTCCTCTAGTGAGGCTATTTACTCGTTCTAAAGTGCAAATTTCTAGGAAGAAGAACGAGCAAAAAATTCTGGCTTTTTCTATATTTTAAGAGTAGTTAACTTGTATGCGGATTTTATTCCCGCACGGAACAACTCACAGTAGGACCCCCAAAAATTTGTTCTGGGTCTGGATGTGATGTGTATTTGAAATTGTACGTTTGTAAACGGACTAACAACATAGGAAAAAGACTAGGAAGGTGCAAAGTTTTAAAAAATCTACAGCTACAACAGATACAAAAATTTGAGAATTCAAAATAACAAAGCAAACTTTCGTTATATATATATTTTAGGTGGAAAGCCATTATTGATAATACCAAAGTATTTCCAACTACTTCAGACGTTTATCATGCCACTACTCGCACACGCTCTCCATATGCTGTTGATCTTAACTTTCGTTGCTGACGTCACAACCATCTCTGTTTACCAGGCAATGTTTATTGAACTGCTTTAGCGAAAATCGAATCGGATGTGAAAAAGGTGTATCATAATGTATAAAACGAATGGGTCGGCTCGACAGGAGTGATACCACGGCCTCACAAAGAGCCGGCGTGAAACAATCACAGAGTTGTGTTTCGCCGTGTGACTGGGATTACCGAAGGCCCATTCATTAACCTTACTTTACACGTTAACTGCCACGTAGGTCACCGGTGACTGACGGTAGTGGTGTATTTACCTTCGATAGTTTTGTTTTGGCAGTCAAAAGCTAAGTTATATTTCATACTTTATCTTCTAAACACTAATCCCCAAACAGGCGGCAACGGACTCGTTGCTCCTGGTGTTGCGAGTGTTTATAGGCAGCGCTTTTGCTTACCATCAGGTAATCCGTCTGCTCGTTTGTCGAACCAAAAAATGTCTAAGTCTAGTAGATTAGTTAAGTGTCGTTACGATTTGAAAAAGAAGAAAACTTACATTTTGTTACTTGATCGCTAATCTAGCCTTTTCCATTTCTCGATTCTAACCTTTAACCATGTGAACTAATTATCAAATCAGGATAAAATTTGCCTACATGACATGGAGCGTCAGTTAGCTGACGTCGTTTGTTTTTTTTTTTTGATGTTGAGTACTGATAATTCCTGGTTAGATGACACGAAAAAATTGTTGATTTTTTTATTTAAAAAAATCCTAAATCCTAATACTTACGTAACTAGAATGTCGGTCACATCCGAAACCTTTTTATCGTAAGAAGTTTATTACCACTTTGTTGGTATGGTGACTATTGTGAGACATACAAAATTTATTGAATTAAGACACGTGCATTAACTAAGATACGTGCTACTAGGTTCAAGTCACGATTGCACTCAAGTTAACGTGAATAAGTCGCGATTTTTAATTTATTATGCGTTGTTGTTGCCTGTAGGCCCTTTGATTACGTTTACCTATTCGTATGACAAAGAAATTGGCGAACGTTGTTGGATGGTAATAGAATTTATCAGTTAAAACAAGTGATGGATTACCGACTATGATGACTCACAGGAATTAAAGCTCTTATAACGTCTGCTCAAAGTTTTCTTTTATAAACCATCATCATAACCATCATAAATTTGTTTTATTTAGTCTACCATATATTATTAAGAATTATTATACCTACTTACATAACATAGACTGGAACTGATAGTTAATCTTCAGCCAAACGTGTATTTTACTTAAAGGGGTTGATAAATCACTAAATAGTATAATAATAAACGATCTCCCTGTCTGTCCCTATTTGTATGCTTAACTTTGAAATTACGTGACAATAAATTAGACCTCAACCTACTTAATTAAATACTGTATACTCAATAAAAATGGTTACTTAATAGCTTTTAGAATAGGTATCCAATTAAACCAAATCTTTCACATATATAATTAAAAGTAAATTTTACAAAAAAAAATCGTTGTGAAGAAGACTTGTGAAGCAGTACCTAATTGCAACACGATGTTTTTCAGTAGGCATTGAATTTGATTGGCTGCCAACACCGAGGAACAATTAGCTTGACATCCAACGAATGTTACCCACAGACGGCGAATTAATCATGAGCTTTCGATTTGATTACACTATTAGATTAATTGATAGTGGTAGTAAATTCGATACAGAACTAGCAAGCGCCCCAGCTTCGCACGGGGGCAATGCAGGTACTAAATTTCTCGACTATTTAATGGATATTATTATACATAATTACATAAAACTTTTTCTTCAATCGTCTATTAAAAAAACTGAATCAAAATCCGTTGCGTAGTTTTTTTTTATGCAATAGGTCGGCAAACGAGCAGACGGATTACCTGATGGAGGAGTTACGAGTGCGTTGCCGACCTTTTAGGGATTAGGGATTTGGAGATTAAGGGATTGGGGAGGGATTGGGGGAGGGGAAGGATTGGTCCTCCGATAACCTCACTCACACGGCGAAACACAACGCTGTGGTTTCACTCCGGTCGAACCGACCCATTCGTGCCGAAGCATGGCTCTCCCACACTTAAAAGTTTTATAAATTTAAACATACATGGAGGTATCGGGATAGAGAAAGCGACTTTGTTTTATACTATGTAGTGATATGATACAGTAAATTACAACACTAGCAATTAACCATATAGGAGATTTACTCTTGAGACTACTGCAGACATTCAGAAACAAGAAAAGCTGCACTACCTACAATACTCGTATGTGTGTTCAACGTTGATCCCTTATTATCAATGTTGGGGAAATCAGAATATATGTAATCGATTAATAGTTACATAAGTTGTTTTTTTGTTAACCGTTAATTAATACTGAAATATGAAATCTTCAATTCTTGGATGGTTTTGATAAAGATGAACCAGATAATTATAGCATCGTTGACAATCAATTTGACTATGTCAAACCTTTAAAGTTCAAACTGCAATGTAAACGAAACAGTTAGATAACGAACCAGTAAGCTGTTATTAATGTTCCCCATTAAATGTCGTCACAAGGCCAGCGGTGGGAATATTTATAAATAAACATTTAAATTTAATTTTATCGTTCGCACGAGATTCATGGAGAAATGGAATGGCGTTCTTAAAATAACGATACTCGCTCAATAAGTTTTATTGTTTTGTTTTCTAACATTTAATTCAAAATTTTGGCACCGTATTGTTATGGTTCCAATAAATTATATTGTTACCGCAATACCTACTAAAAGAAAAATATGACGAAATGGGTTAAAATAAAATAGATCTAGAGCTTATAATAAAAATCGTGACATTAAAACTCATGATCGATTTAATTATGTTTAAGTCTTTAATTATGAACAAAGTTTGTGGTTAAGAAATATGATCTGTCAGACCAGCTAGAACTGGGGAAGCGTTTGCAAGTACAATCATTTACTACGACTCAGATCGGAGCAGGAGGGGGAACTGCGGGGCTTTGCTCAGTAAAAGTCAGACACTCACTTTCAGGAGTTTTGGAGAAGTCATTGGATGATTTTTTGATGGTCACCGAAACAGGTGAAAATTTGTAGTTTCCATCTTGTCTTATAAATATGGTTTGAGTATTGTTCTATGCAGCATAGATCTACCGGGGCAAATGAAAGCAGAAATAAGAATATTCATGTCGAACAGTTTTTTCAATGAATGTAGCTATTTGCATTTTACTCTCAAAATGGATTTTTGTTAAACCTGTTTATTTAAATCAAAGCGAATTTGTACGAATTTTAATATGTTCGCATTAATTTTTGGCAGACGATTTGACATTTTTATAGTTTTCTGTTATGTCGCCAAATTTTTATAGTTTTCAAGCATTCGTCATTAAGGTTGTCATTTAAGATATTTAGAATATTGTGCATACTACTAAACGCCCGCCCTCACTCCGCCCGGAAATCCAACCGGTGGTGATGCCCAGATCTTCCCTTTTACTCTTAATAATTTTATCTTTCATCAAAACCTTCTGACCTTCATCCTCCAAGTCTGACAATAACGACCAGAAACTAAGAATTGGCGAAATTGGTCCAGGAGTTTTTGAGTTATGCTCTTACCAACACATATTGTTATTCATTTTTACATTATATACGTTAATATTGTAAAATTTTTGTTGACAGGATTTAGCAGATAGCCTCCGTGACGACAAAGGTATCTCCGAACATCTGAAGCTTCCAATCCAAAGAATTAACGACTACCAACTACTGCTGAAGGTATTTATGTTTTAATTGCTTTGTGATTTAACAAAAAATCACTATTTATTGAATAAAGATTAAGAATATCAATGATCGCTCACTAACTAAATTTATTAGCAATCAGTGCCTACTTTATTTCGATAATGACGAGTTTCTCTCTCCTCATTGAATTTTAATTATTCTTCAGGAATTAGTAAAATACTCAAAAAGGCTAGGCGAAGACTGCTCCGACCTCCAGAAAGCGTTAGAACTCTTCCTCAGTGTCCCCAACCGAGCCACTGACAACAAATTCATCGCGAGCATCGAAGGGTTCCGCGGTAACATCTACAAGCTAGGTCGGCTTCTCACCCACGACTGGTTCACCGTCTCCGATACCGAGGGCAAGTCCAGGGAAAGATACGTCTTCCTCTTCAAGGCCCGTGTCCTCATCTGTAAGGTCAAGAAAGTCGGAGACGATCGCTCAGTCTTCGTGCTTAAGGATATTGTCAAGGTTAGTGAAATGCTTCAAAATTACATTTACGTAAAGTTCTATTATAGTATTAAATTGGTTTGCATGCTATACGCCGTAAGATTCTCAAGTGCTTCGTTCATGACAAAAGTACAGTAATACACGTTTATACAAACCGTTTCCCTGAACCAGCCTACACGTTCTAACTATATCCTCATTCATTGCCGGCTCACGCACTTGAATGCAACCCCAAAAATAGGTCAATTCAAAGAACAACCATTTGGAAATACTCCAGAATAGTGTCTGGAATGTATGAGTATTGTGTAGTTCCTTTGTTATTGCAAATTAAACTTTCATCTAGTTTATAAGACTTAAATACTGCGTTGAAGACATTGACACCGTGTCATTGAAATAGCAGCTGACGACATTGAAACGTTTAAAAGTGTTTCGCTATTTCTGAGCGAGGCGAGCTCACCACATCACACATTTTTGATATAAAATTAAATTTTCTACTACGTTGCACAATATTATTTGACGTTACAAGGCTGTTTTATAATAATGCGCGTAGTATTTGTGAAAAACTTTTTCGTGAGACGTAGGTAAAATATATGTGTGGCTCTAATATTTATTTCAATTATTTTTGTTTAACATCAAAAATTACTCAAAAATCTATTATTTTTTGAGTTACTTCATAGATACTTGGTCTTTTAGCTACCGGAGGCCGAAATCAAGGAAAACCCCGCTGAGCCCCTTAAGTTCACACTTTGCCAGAAGGACCCGCCGCTAACTGTAACACTAGCTGCTCACAAGGAACAAGTTAAGACTAATTGGCTCGCTGAAATTAGAAAACACGCTAGTGACCTCGGTAAGAATGTTTGTTATTTATTTACTCAATACTACATAATAACACACCTTCTTGAACATACTGTATTGAATTTTATCTTATTCCTTTTAGTCGCCCTAGCCGAACACGCCGCAGACGACCTCCAGGTGCTACCACCTGAAGGCATCCCAGCAGAACCCGAGGAGAAGAAGAAGAAGAGAGATCACGCTGAAGTTGCACAAGCAGAAGCAGTAGAATCCAAAGAAAAACGCTCCCGCGTTGAAGAAACTACTCAAATAGCAACTACAGAAGAGGCTCAGCAACTTAAAACAAAAAGGAAAGCATCAATAGAAAGTGAGGTCGCGACTAAAATCTCCAAGTCTGAAGTTACTGAGGTATCTTCAGTCAGCGAGACACAACAATCTGTCAAAGTCAGCTCAGTGAGCGAAAGTTCTAAAGTCACTGAAAAAACCGCGTCTGTTTCACAATCAGAGCAAACTAGTCAAGTTACTGTAGTAGCAGCTGCATCAGAAGTAAAGGTTGCGCAAGCAACATCTGTGCAGTCAACACAACAGACGTCTGTTCAGAGTTCCACTGTACAACAATCTTCTCAAGAGAGCTCAATACAAGCAACCTCCCAGAGGGCATCAGTCACTGAACAGTCAACAGCACAATCAATTGAAAGTACTACACAAAGTGCTCAAAAATCGTCATCTCAAGCAACTAGTGTCGAATCAAAAACACAAGAAGCCACATCTATACAGCAAACATCTTCGTCTGTTGAACAATCCAGTAAGCAATCAACAGCTTCCGAATACAAGACACAAGCATCGGTGAAGGAGACGACAGTTGAAGAAACTGTTGTAGCGTCTCAACAATCTACTAATGTTCAAGAAGTTACTACACAACAATCTGTAGTAGAAGAAACTAAAGAAAGTACTTTAGAAAAGGTCAGTGCCACTGGCGACGAGTCTACGCAGCAAGCTTCTGGTAACGGTCAAACTGTAACCACAGAGGAAGTTGGGGAAGACGAGATGTCTAGGTATAGCCGCAGTACGCGGCTCTCTGGAGGTAAATATATTTCTTTTTGTGTCTCAAACATAACTTTTTTGTACGTAGCTAGTTAAATTATTAGCAAATATGGATGTTTTATACACTTGTAAATTATTTTGCAGAATACTCCAGTAGTAGCCGAAAACTATCAAGTGGAGGTCGCTACGAATCATCGTCTACGTACGATGGCAGTGGACTAACTTCCTCCTACTCGCGACGTGAGAGTGGGTCGCGTTTGGAATCCTCCAAGTACGAATCAGGAGGAGCCATTGAGGGAACTGCAAGTTCACGCTACGAAGCCAAGTACTCCTCAAAAACTGAAGGAGGATCCAAATACGGAATTGAGTCCAGCTATGAAAGCAAGTCTGAATCTGGTTCCAAATATGGAATTGAATACGATAGTGCCAGTAAGATCGACAGCATCGCATCAAAATACGGCATCGAATCTAACGTGGAGAGCAAATCTGAAAGATCTGCTTATGCGATCGAGGGCGACAGTGCCAGCAAAATAGACAGCATCGCCTCAAAATACGCGTCAAAGAGAAACAGTATTAAATCTAGCGTTGAGGGTGGCAACATCGAATCAAGCCTGGAAGCTAAATATGAGAGCAAAACAGAAAGCTCAGCTTACGGAATCGAATCCGACACTACAAGCAAAATTGACAGCATCGCGTCTAAGTACGCTTCGAAGAGAAGCAGCATCAAGGCTAGCACCGACGGAGACAAGGTCGAATCTATTTCTTCCACGACCGAGAGTAGCTATGAGACCGTCAAGAACGGAGACTCATCTTATGAGAGCAAGTACTCGAAGAAGTCTATCGCCAACGGCTCAGTAAGCACTGGCTATGAATCAGCAAGGTCCGTCTCTAAATCTGAATCTCATGATGGAAAGCCAGTATTCACGAAAACGTTAGAGGGCCAGAACATTGAGCGTAAGTACTACACCCGAGAGTAGAACCCGTCACATAGAAGTAGACACACTATTAGCGCTTGTACATAAAGCTTGTAGTAAACTAACGTACACTTTACATTACTTTAACAACGCTTTGTACAATCAGAACATTTTTTCCATCTGTGTAAGAGTTCGAACGGTATTCGCGGTTCAAGAATTTTCCTAAATCGATCAATTGACGAAAACAAGACATAAAGTCGCAGTGATCATTTACAAATGACAAGTTTCAAGATCGCGGTAGCCGAATCCGTACGAGCTCTCCCTGTAACCATGCTCTGACTCCCCAGCTGGTGAGAACGCAATCTTCGAATGTCTTCTGCGTGAGTCTAAGGACGTGAAGGTGACATGGCTAAAGGACAACAAGCCCCTGACGGACCGGCTCATGGACCGATGCTCCATCTCCCTGGAGGATGACGGCGGGTTCAAACTAGAGCTGAAGCACTGCCGAGAGTCGGACGCGGGAGTATACACCGCCATCGCGGAAAATGTCAAGGGAAATGCCCACTGTACCGCACAGTTAGTCGTGCAGGAGTGTGAGTCTCATTTTACTTTATTATAACGAGTTTGAGAAAATAATGACATCTGGTCGAAACTTTTATTTAGCTCTAGAAGTACTTTTAAATATTGTTAAAAATATTCTAAACTACATATTTTCTCAAACTCAATCGATAACCAATAAAAACACTTCTTATAATGACAGTTACAGTTTAATATTTGAATAAATCAATACCCTCTGTATGCGCATGCTCATCGCGATCACCGATTAAGACATTGTAAGGCGGATAACACGTAGTTTGATATCTGATCAGATCTCTATTTAATTTTCCTGTATTTTGCACTTATTTCGATATTGTTGTACACACGTATTTACTTACAAATAAACATAACATGATTAATATTAATCTTATTACCGAAGTACCATTTGAGGCAAAGTGTCCAAACAATATTTGATGACCTACGTATAGATATGGAATAAACATTAATGATAACTTACATCAACACTGACTTTACATAAGTAACTAAACTTTGTAAAGTATTAACAGCAAAAAATCTATGTACCTACAATGAATATTCGTTCGAATAGTCGTCTTTCAATTAAAATACAACACAAAATAATCTTCTGAAAACTTATTATTAAACATAAAATGACCTTAATAAATCTTTGGCACTCCAAACCACAATTTGAATGTAAATATTTAGCAAAAACCTGCCTCAAATGGTTAAGTATACCTTGTCAACGTAATACTAACATGACGAACCACACGATTTATAGTGACAGCTGAAGAGCGTAGAGAAAGGAATGCTTTGAAAGCGCCCTACTTCCTCGTCGCACTCAAGGACACGGAGATCATGGAGAACACATATCTACGCTTCATGGTGAAGGTCAAGGGCGACCCTAACCCTGATGTCAAGTTGTAAGTAGAAAGAATTGGTGTTTATGAAAGTGATACCTATTGTGCCAGAATTTAAATTAAACTTTATGTGGTCTTGTTGAAACAAATCATTAAACTGACCATTTTGCGTATTTCCCAAAATTGAACTACTTTTGCTCTTTACATTTCAAAGACGTACCTACTTCAAAAAGGTTCTGACCTTAAAAAGAAGAGGTAGACCACAACAAGAACTTTTCAAAGCAACTAAGTGTGGGAGAGCCATGCTTCGGCACGAATGGGTCGGCTCGACCGGAGTGATACCACGGCCTCACAGAAAACCGGCGTGAAATAACCACTGCGTTGTGTTTCGCCGTGTGAGTGAGGTTACCGGAGGCCCAATCCTTCCCCTTCCCCATTCCCTCCTCAATCCCTAAATCTCCAAATCCCTAATCTCTTAAAGGTCGGCAACGCACTCGTAACACCTGCGTTGTGAGTGTCCATGGGCGGCGCTGATTGCTTACCATCAGGTAATCCGTCTGCTCGTTTGCCGACCTATTACATATAAAAAAAAAAAAAAACTATGAGAAAACCCCAGAAAGACGTAAACTTTACTTAAGTGTCACGATGTTCTCAAATTTCGCCACCAATCTCTGAATCTCTGTTCCCCAGCTACCGCGACGACAAAGAGATCCTCACCACCTCAGAATCAGACCGCGTGTCCATCATACGTACCCGCGCGGACCGTGGATGTTACGAGCTGGTCATCGCGGACGTGCTGCCCTCTGACGCCGGCCGCTACTCTTGCAAGGCCACAAACATCTACGGAGAGGTCACTTCTGAGGCCACTGTTACTGTCGTTGGTGAGTTTTTATTGTGACATTGAAATGTGTAATTATACGAGTAGGTTGGTCCAAGTAAGTGAGCCTGTTTACATAAATCTGATAGATTCCCTCACTCTATAATGGAATTGCTTAAGTATAATTTAGACTAGCCAACTGCTAGAAGGTATTCTTTGGAGTTGTTCTTAATGGATGACAACGGAAGACTTCATCATACTTATCACCTGATGGTAAGCTATTGGTGTGGCCAATGGTGCAAGTGCGTTGCCAGTGTATTAGTGCTAGAAATTTAAGAAATTGGGGCATTTGGGGATTGTGTTAGAGTAAGGGAGAGAAATGGACGTTCGGTAATCTCAAACACTTAGCAAACACAATGCAAACGTTATTTCATATCAGTATTCTTAAGCGTATCCATCATACAGATCAAGCCATTGGGCTGGCCCATACATGCCTCTAAACTTTAAACAACTCTTTAGTTTTGTAATCGAAAATTATCTCCTCAACTTTCTCGAACGTTTGGTTCATTATTCGGTTAGGTAAATACCGTAGTGAAACTATTTATAAAATAAATCAATAATATGTCTATGGAAAGTCAAGAAAATATACACGAGAAACGATTCACGACGAAACATCCAGCTAAAGATTACGTCAAATTATGTAATGCCCTGGAATACTGCCATACACCCACGAAACCAAACACTTAGCTAGACAATCAATAGATGATAATATTATTATTGACAATCTATAACGTTTCTTAATTAATAGCATCGTCAAAACTCTCGTAATAAATGAAGAATTTGTACGAAAGATCTATAAATAAGTTCGTAACATAATTTTTCGAACATTTGGACATCCTCCAGCTGTTGTTTATGGATCACTCGGCTATTTATATCGTTTACTCGAATTAGACTGAACTTGTAATACTTTTATAATGCTTGACTTCACATTGTTGTTTCGTGAGGTTTTATATTTTCTAGAGAGAACAGCCATTACTTGAATACTTCCGTGTTGACTATTACAACAACGATTCCATGAGCTTCACAGTTTTAAAAATAACAACAAGAACTAATAGAATATAATATTTTATACATATAATGCTAGCTTCGGACCGCGGCTTTGCACGCGAATAACAGCAACGTACCTATAGCACTCAGGATCATTGATTGTAGCTATCTATCAGTGAAAACATTTTGGAAATCCGAGCAGAGATCCAAATATTACCCCCTACATACCTACAAACTTTACCTCTTTTTAATGTTTATTTAATGTATAATTATATAATAAACCAGTAGAGATTGTCAGAAGACCTTTTAATTAAAAGTTATAGGTACCTATATCGTTGAATTTAAAACTATTTTCCCACATTCAGATGACAAGAACATCTTCGGTGAACTTCCACCTGGTGGCGAAGGCCTCCTGGCCAAGGGAGAGAAAGCAACGTTCACATGGAAGAGGGATGGACAGGCTTTCGACCCTGAAGAGAGGTTCAAGGTATGTAGCGCACACGCAACAATATTTTAATGGCTAATTTCGATGTCTTCTAGAAAGTAAAATCTCTTTATTTAGCCAATACCAGCTACAGCTCGTTTCCTATTAGCCCAGCCCAGCTTTTAAACTTCCATAATAAACTATACAAATATTGGTTGAATACGAATACACACCTATTTAGGCAGTCCTCTAAATTAGCGCATTTAAAAATACCAACTTTATATTATTAATAGGTGGTTTAATGGGGGTCTTGTTAACCTGGCGTCTTTCCACTTCCTTTTTTATGAAACTTATATAATTGTATACAATGGCAGGTGCTGCTGGGAGACGACGAGGACTCGCTGGCGCTGGTGTTCCAGCACGTGAAGCCCGAGGACGCCGGCATCTACACCTGCGTCGCCAAGACCAGCACCGGGAACATCTCCTGCTCCGCCGAGCTCACTGTACAAGGTACATAATACTTCAAATTATACAGCTGTTTTATTCTATAAGTGCTTTTAGCAAACATACCTACTGATCTTAATTGGCCTTCACACCCTAAAATCACCTCACTCACAGGAGTGGAAGTTTCTTTTTTTCTTTTATTTCTGTCTATGTATAGACCTTGACTCACTCGTGGAATATGTATGATACATTATTGTCTAACACTTCTGACGTGACGTGCACCAGGAGCGGTGCACGAGCTGCACCGGGAGCCGGAGAAGCCGACGCTGGTGATAGAGCACCGCGAGGCGATCGTCTCCGCCGGCGCCTCCGCCATGCTGGAGCTCACCTGCAAGGGATACCCCAAGCCTAACGTCGTCTTCAAGCACAAGGGCAAAGACGTTGAAGCTGATACTAGGCACAAGTGAGTTTATTAAATGAATATATTTAGGTAAAGGCACCATAAATGAACAGACATATATTGTGAAGCCTTCTTTCATCTTCTTGTTAGATTTCTATTATGTATAAATGGTACCTTCACGTCTTTACTGAACAAATCGGAAACCAGACTATAGTGTGATTTCCCCGTCACTTCGACAATTTAATAGAATCGACGACGTGCAGAATTGAGTTCTTGAATGACGACTTCACAATACACTCTCCCTTTTTAGATTCCTATACGAGGACGAGGAGACCATGTCTTTGGTGATAAAGAACGTGACGCAGGCGGACGCGGGCGAGTACCAGGTGACCGCCTCCAACGACCTCGGAGAGGACACCACCACCATGAACCTCATCGTCAAGGCCGCGCCCAAGATTAAGAAGAAGATTGAGAACCAGACTTGTATGGTAAGTTGGCCTATTTAACACACACGCGTGGCATCCCACCGCTATGTTTTTTTCGTACTGTAGTTTTGGTTTCTATAAACCAGAATAAGGAAGGGGTTTAATCAATGTTCATTGTTAATTATTATTATTTATTTTTTGTATGTGATAAGTGCTTAAACGAGCTGACAGATTTCCTGATGGTAAGCAATCGGCGCTGCCCATGGACACGCAAAGGAGGAGTTGCGAATGCGTTGCCGGACTTTTGGGATTTAGGGTACCGGAAATTTATAAAATGGGTAGGGGAAGTATTGGTGCTCCGGTAACTCACAAGGCGAAACACAACGCTGTTGTTATAACGACAAAATAGGTTTTTGACTTTTGTCAAGGTGTTGTGTTGACATTTGTCAAGGTGTTTTTATATCTAACTGCGAATTTCGAAGTTCTCGTTAGCTTACATAGAAGTCCGTATGTTCTCCCGAGTTGAGGGGATAAAATCTTCAATTGTCTTGTCTCGCCTTATTAAGAAAGAAAGAAAGACCCAAGACTGTACATATCTTCAATACAATAGTTTGTTTGTCAAAATGTTTGACGTCAAATCTCTGTAAATTTTAATAAATTCAACCTTTTTGTATGTCAGGTGAGCTCCACCCACACAGTAACAATCGAAGTAGAAGGCGCGCCGGCTCCAGACGTGACTTTCTACAAAGACGGAACTGAGATAAAGAGCTCGGAGCGTATCACCATCGTGAAAGAATCCGACGAGGTCTACAAGATCACCATCAAGGACGCCAAGCTCACCGATACTGGTTCCTACTCTGTTGTCGCCAAGTAAGTTTAGTTTTTTTTGTGATACATCGGCAAACCATACAGATTTCCTGATGGTAAGCAATCAGTGCCGCCCATGGACACCTGCAACAATAGAGGAGTTACGAATGCGTTGCCGACCTTTTGGGGATTAGGGATTTGGAAATTTAGGGATTCTGGCTTGATTGGGGGAGGGGAAGGATTACCTAAGGCCTCCGGTTACCTCACTCACACGGCGAAACACAACGCTGTCGTTGTTTAACGTCGGTTTTCTGTGAGGCCGTAGTATCACTCCGGTCGAGCCGGTCCATTCGTGCCGAAGCTTGGCTCTCCCAAACTTGGTGAAATAAATTTTAAAGGTAGCCAAGGAAGTATCGGGGTGACCCAAGTCGTGCCCATTTCTCATGTATGAGGAGGTGGTTTGAAACCTCGCAAATACCAATGATACATCTGATTTTTTCCGAGGTCATGTGTACTTTCTAAGTTCATTAAGACAACACAGACTATGAAGGAAAACATTGGGAGGAAACCTGGATTTATAATTTCTAATTATAAGTTTGAAATCGCCAATCCACCTTGAGTAAGCGTGGTGATTAATGCTCAAACCCTCTTCGTGTGAGAAAAGGCGTTTGTTCAGCAGTTTGCACTTATAGGCTGATGATGATCATGATGTGAATTTGAAAGGAGAAGTAGTTTGTTTTATTTCGGTATGGTAAAATTGGCACAAACTTAGCAAAAACAATGACCTTGAGCCAATTGCAGGTTTTTGCTTGCACCAAAACTTTGGGCTTTCTGAACTTTACAAGAAGACCATCAAATCTGTTTACTATCTACCACTTCAGCTCCAATATTTTAAAGATCACAAAACTCATTGCTAATGTTGAAACCTTCCAGAAACGAAGTGAACCAATGCTCGGACTTCTGGCAATGGCACGTGACGTCACCGCCCAAGGTCATCAAGAAGATGGGCGAGAATAAGGTTTGCGAGGAGAAGGAAACTGTCACCTTCAAGGTGGAGACCCAGTCTGAGCCAGCGCCTACAGTCTCATGGTAAGGTCTAGTGTTTATATTATTAAATAGGTAAGGTTAAGGCCTCTTGGCAATTGGCTAAAGTGTAATTTGAAATGGCAATCTGAATATTATTATTCAACTATAATGCTCGCATTAAAAATCTCAAAGATACGACTGTTGTTCGCTGGACAGAAAGAGACATTGATTAAACAGGTTTTTTGAGATGCCAAATAATTCAAAGACTTCTCTCATTTCGGATGCAGCGAAGAGTACGTCTGACTCTTACTGACCAAAAACCCACCCCGGTGTAATCATGGGCTTAAACTTTCACTGTTGCTATAAAATGAAAGTCTCATCGGTTTCATCTATTACTGCGCCCAAAATTTAATATTCTGTGCAAGAACCAAGTTATCACAGTCACCATACACTTTCCTCTAATCTATACTTTAATATTATAAAGCTGAAGAGTTTGTTTGTTTGGACGCGCTAATCTCCAGTACCTACTATTGTTCGAATCGAACAACTCTTTTTGAGTTTGTTAGTCCATTTATCGAGAAAGGCATTTAAAACATCACGCGATGACCCGTAGGAGTTGAGCAGCTAGTGAAACCGCTTGAGAGTAGCAAATTACTTAAAAAAATAAAGACATTTTAATAAGTTACTACTACTACACAGTTTATTTGTATCCCTACAGGTATAAGAATAAGGTAGAACTGTCCGAGTCGTCGACAGTGAAGATCTCATCAGCTGGGGAGGCGCACTCCCTCGTCATCACCTCCGCTGCAAAATCTGACGCCGGCGAGTACTCCTGCGAGGTACGATAGATTCCAATTTATTATAAATATAACCTTCGTCAAATAACTCATACTTGCAAACTCCTGTTTTATAAATTACCCCTCCCCCCAGATCCGCAACATACACGGCAGTACGTCGGACTCGTGCGTGCTGAACGTCAAGTCGGGCCCGTACTTCACGCAGAAACTGAAGGACACCACCGCCAGCGAGGGAGACGTCAATGTCGAGTTCACCGTCGCCGTCGAGGCTTACCCTGAACCCACCGTCAAATGGTAACTATACGAAACATTGCCCTTCTTCTGTATATTTATGTACTTTACTTTTTCTGGTTTGCTGAGGTCACCACAATTCTCTTTGTGCATTCATCGCACGTCTAATAAACAATGACTCAAATACCATATGGGAAAAAATAAACTCTCATCTACCTGTATATTCAATATTGAATCTGCCAAAAATTACGCAATTAATTGCCAACCATATTATTTGTGATAATGTCTCAAACACCATTCACTTTTTAGCTATGAGTCTTAACGCGCCGGTTGCTACATATCTCACTATACTTGTTCAGGTACTTGGGCGACGTGGAGATCACGGAGAAGAAGTCAGTATTCACCCGCGTGGACAGCGGCAACACCCACAAGCTGATCCTGAAGGAGGTGTCGGCGGAGTACTCCGGGAACTACTCCTGCAAGGTCTCCAACGTGCTCGGGGAGGATTCCTGCTCCGCTACCTTCACTGTCAACAGTAACTGTCACAATCCTTTATTTAAATACAATACAAAGCCTTTATTGTACACCATGTTAAACATGACAGATATTTTATTGTTAATAATGTTTAATTCACACAGAGTTGATATGCGTAATTAGGTTTTTTCCAAAAACTACAAAATATGCCTCTGTGTTCTAGGGAAACCTCGTTTCACCAAGAGTCTGATCGACATGACCGTGGATGCTGGACAAACGCTGAAACTGGACGTGGAGGTTGAAGGCTGTCCCGAACCCAAGGTCAAGTGGTTCAAGGACGGCAAGGAGGTCAATACTGATGCCAGGATTAAGATCGAGAGGGATACGAAGAGGTAAGGCTGTAGGAGTATCTTCCGAAAAATTAGAACACAGTATTTGGATCCCAATTCTGACGAGATTAATCATGATACAATTTTACAAGGAATAACAACGACGAATTCAATATAGAGCCTCATTTTAAACGATATTAATTATTCCTTCAGATTGGAGAACTACCATCTATCAGTGACCTTGGTAAAAGAGGAAGATGGTGGTGACTACGAGGTCAGGGCCGAAAACGAGTTTGGTAGTGTCTCTTCTAAGAGCACGGTCACCGTACACAGTAAGTATCTACTGACAATAAAATATAGGTCTACTGCACAAGCCGTAGGGACAATTTTCGATCAAATAAGGACGTATCACAAAATTTTATCTATCGAATGACCTTGTGCACCATATTATTAGGATGCAAATTTGCACATCAGTATGATATTTCCACGAGTAAGAGTTCCTGCAAACACTATACACATTGACATACACACACACACGCACATGGTAAGCTCCCAACAAATTAGATACGAATCTGTCAGGGACCGACAGAATTGGCACTTCGATGGAAGAGCAACATGGGTAACGTAGTTTGCATTAACGCAGTAGTGACATTGAACCCTAGATTACTACCATAATTATACGCACGTTAGTTTGTTTTTTGGTGTCCCTAGATACCGACCATGAGGATATGGCAATTAAACATTGAAACATTCAATAGACTAGAATGCTGAAAAGTAGTTACTCACGAACATCGATGCACTGTGTCCTGCACAAACCTTTACTTAACCTTTGTGACGTCCATATTCAGTACATTTCGTCCATTTCAATAATATTCATGTTTTATTGTTACCATTTTTTCATTGTGTTCAATAGCGCGCGAGATTCATTCGACGTTGAATAAAGAAGCAATTATCGAAAGTGAAATAGATGATGAAAGCAAAAAGTCGAAAAAAGCTCTGGAAGACGATGTGGATACAGGGAATAAAAAGTCAGCTAAGTTAGCCAAAGCGGAGACAGTAGAAGAAAAGTCGATATGGGATGACGACGAAGATGGTAAAGCTAAAAAATCAACTGTAGATGACGTAGATTCGTCACCCAACTCTGCTAAGAAATCGCTCACAGAACCTGAGATTGCAGAAGAAAAGTCTTTTTGGGACGATGTAGATGAAGATAAAAAGACCAAAAAACCGTCAGTTGAAGAAGTAGAGTCAAAACCAACCAAAGGCAAGAAATCTATTACCGAGCCTGAAGTAGCTGAGGAAAAGTCCTTCTGGGACGATGTAGATGAAGATAAGAAATCAAAAAAGCCATCCATTGAAGAACTAGAGTCGAAACCAGGTAAAGGTAAGAAATCCGTTACTGAACCTGAAATAGTGGAAGAGAAGTCCTTCTGGGATGATGCTGACGATGGAAAGACAAAACAACCTATTGTGGAAGAACCAGATACGCCTATTAGTAACAAAGCAAGGAAGTCCGTTACTGAACCTGAAGTAGCTGAAGAGAAATCATTCTGGGATGACGATCAAGATAAACCGAGCAAACCAACTATTGAAGAAATTGACTCAGCACCTGCTGATGCGGGAAAAAAATCCTTCTCAGAGCCAGAAATAGCAGAAGAAAAATCGTTCTGGGATGAAAACCACAACGAACAAAACAAGAAGCCCGTCGTTGAAGAGGTTGTTACAAAAAAAGACGCTGGAGAGAAAAGTGCCACTAAGCCAGAGTCGATTGAAGAGGTCCCAATCGCTGACGACCTGAAATCACCCAAGCGTAAATCAGTTAAAAAACAATCTCTAGAAGAACCATTAAGTGCTGAAACTGAAGGTATAAACATTACTCGCTTCGACGCTTACTCTCTTCAACTCCGCAAACAGCTTTTAGTATGCGAGAATTTCATGTTTTCGCGCACAACTTTGCATGCTTTTAACACTGTGTTTCTTAACATCCCAAGTGTGATTTGTTATGTTTAGGCCGAGTTTTTGAAACAGTAACTACGTTCAAGACAGGCGAAGATGGTGCTATAATAATGTCTAAAGTCAGCAGCACTCGGTCTCACGGCGCTATTATCACAGGTCAGTATCCAGCTTCCTACCTTCTCTTCCCAGTTCTAACCTCCATCTATCGTCAACTAACTTTCAACCATCAAACGAGATTGCTTAGAGAACTTCAAACTAAAAGGATAACGCAGTAACTTCATCTTTCTAACTCTACTTCCTTCTAAATAGTTTTTTAACGTAAATTCAACATAATACTATTTTAACTGGTAGGTCCGGCCGAAACACACACTTTACACAAAATGACGTCAAAATCACTTTATTATGATGATGATGACTTTTTCGGCGGCAGAAGGTTAATACAGCCAAACAAACCACATACGACTTCTTTGGAAGTCGAAGAAATCGCTAGCCACAGTTATTTCTTGACGGAGATGGGCCATTATACTATACCGGATCATGTTAGACGAGGTACCTACGGCATTATTGAAGAACCGCAAACTGACTCCGAAGCTGAAACGGGGTCGCGATGTGGAAAGATGGGAGCAAACCGAACTGTATCCATCATGTCAGTCTCAGAAGACGAGATGAGCTGGCAGAACGAACCTCTCTCTAGAGAAATATCGATCGAAGACCTGTCGAAGTCTATATTCGACATCGACGAAACTAGAAAAGTATTTAGCAAAGACTCTTACGTTCGCCAAACTTCTTTTAAAGAAGATTACATCATTGGTGAAGATGAAGAAGAGTCTTTAATTTTAAAAGAAAAGTCGCAAAAGGTATTTGAGAATGACATTACAGAGAAACTCATACACATTTCGAAGGAATTCGACGAAAACGAATACGAATCCGTCGACAAAAAGATAGATAACGTTAAAAATAGAATAATAGAAGAACTAGTATTAGCGCCCATGAAGAACTTCGATAGTATTACGAAAGATGTGACGGAGACTACTGTTGAGAGGAAGAGAAAGAATGAAACTAAATTATTTAGTTTGGAAGAGGAAATGGATGACGAGGTGGAAGCCCTCCTGAAACGAAGCCAGAGACAGAGGAGCATACTAGATGATATCCTAAATGTGGAAGATGAAAAAGGTAATTGTTAAATCAAAATATTAAACAAACGGGGAACGTTGTACGATGACAGAGGCTGGCATTTGATGAAGTAACGCTACGCAGTGTATGTCAGGGGAGAATAACATGAAAGTAATCGCTTTGTATCCGAACTCGGAAATTGCTGATGTTGATTCCATTTAATCTGCTATTTTCTTCTTAACTGCAACTAAAACTCTCAACTCTTTAATCTCCTTTTTCGAAGAAAATGGCAGGTTCTTCTCCATGTAATGATCCTTTAAATGTCTCTCCATATTTGATTAATGCTGTCGTATGTTTGTTTTAGCACGCATGCGTAATAACATTCCCTTCTGGCATACTAATATTTGGGGCTCGGTGCGACAGAGGTACTAGTCCCTACAGAATCGTCATCACATCTTCAAAGTAAGTCAATTATTTTTTAAAGTAGCGCGACGCTTGCATGGGTCTTGCGCTTTGGTGTTGATGGGCCACTAGTTGTAAGGCAAACTTCAATAAGTGGTAAGTATGATAACACATGTCATCGTAAACGACACACACGGGTAATATCTGGTTTTCATTGGCACATACAAGGGCAACTGCGTAAGTATCACGAGTAAAATCAAATAACTGCTGTAAATACTGCGACAATACTGAGCAAACTATGTAAATACATATCTTTCGAATGGGCTTCTTCGGTTCTGGGCTTAAGAATGTATTCTTGTTCAATTCTTTCTAAGTTTTGTACAAAGGCAAAGTGGAGTTACATCATTCAAAATTTTTCTTTGAAAAAACACTAGTTTACTTTGAAATTATGTAACTCTTCGCTTATTTTATCTATTTTATGTATTATAGCTAAATCTTCTATTATTCAGAATAAGTTTAATACTTCTTAAATGTCAAAATCAAAAAATATTCTTTTTATGTTATCCTCCCAGCCTGTCGCTATGCTCTTTCAGCTTTCAAAAGGATCAGGTTTAATAGGAGACCTGACCCGTTTTTAGCCGGGCTTGAATTAACACGATACTTCTGTATTGCAGCACCACCCACAATCAAAGGCGGCAGTATGAAGGACGGGCACGCTTACGAGTCCCTACCTCTAGTTTACTCAGTAGAAGTCTCCGGTTCTCCGAAACCCACGGTCCGTTGGCTGCACGACGGCAAAGAAGTCAAGCCATGCGGCAGGGTTCACATCACCAATGATGGAGATCTGTTCAAGTTGGAGATCGACAGCGTTCAGATGAAGGACGCTGGCAAATGGCAGTGTGAGATCGTGAACGATCTTGGAAAGCAAGTGCAGACCGCTCAACTGTCTGTGTCACGTAAGTTATATTCATTTAGAAATAGCATCAACCATTTAAGGATCGAACTCTTCGGGGATTTAGGGGTCTTTTAAAAATACACTTAGTCGTTAATCAGTGAGACATCGTAGTAAAATTTGGAAGTTAGGAACACATAAATATCTGTATGCCTTTTAAAATCCAGCTGAATCCGAGCTCCGCAAGCCAAAGTTCACGGCTCCGCTGGAGGCGCAACGCGTGGTGCAGAAGGAGCCGGTGTGCCTGCAGGCTGTGTGCACGGCGGACCCACAGCCGCACGTGGCGTGGCTGCTCAACGGGGTCGAGCTCACGCCCAGCGCCACCATACTCACCTCCGCCGACACCAAGGACCTTGATCATGGACTCAAGGAATGCACCTTTACTCTGCAAATTCCTACTGGTATGTAACTGAACATTGACTAGTTATGCACAAATCAATTCAGCACAGATAATTGTTGAAAAAATTGTACCTTAGAATTTTAATTAATGATATTTGTTCTTTCTGCTACTCTACTTCCAACTATGAAACTTTGGTTCCCAAGGTCGTCACACCGACACCGGTGAGTACACGATCCAGGCTACAAACAAGTACGGTGTGGGCGAGAGCTCCGCGCGTCTCGACATCTTACTGCGACCCGAGATTGAAGGTCTGAAGGATATCACCGCCGTGCCCTTCGAGGAGACCACCTTCATCGCCAACGTAAGGGCCAACCCTATCGCTGAGGTCAAGTGGTAAGTCTCACGAAATGTAATCTCTAAGACCATTTGATCATTAAAAATATTCATTCATCAAACTCCAAGCGGATGCCGGCGTTCCGGCAGCTAATATTCTTCTATTGTGTCTCTAATTAGAACGATTGAGAGGTTAACTTTTACTTTGAAACATTTTTTAAAACAAAAATGAAATTATACCTAAGTTTCACGGTTGGCGCAATTTTTAAAGAACCAAGCTAGTGTAAACATTTTGCACATTCGGTTCCCGCACGAAACAATTCCTTGATATCCACAAAGCTATGTTTTTCCAGGCTTGTTAAAATTTTTATATTTCTTAGACACGAAAAACATGTGGAGTAACACAACTTTTTACATATATTTTCATCGTGATAGACAGTAATATCATAGAATACTCTAAATTGTCTACTTTTAATTTCTTCAGGCACAAGGACGGCTACGTGATTCAACCATCGTCTCGCTACGACATAGTGGAAGATCTGCCTAACGAGAAGTACCAGCTGACCATCAAGAAGGTGGGAGTGGATGACGGAGGGGTCTACACTCTAGTGGCCAAGAACGAGGTCGGAGAGACCTCGCAGCAGGCCACGCTTATGGTGCACAGTGAGTAGAGATTATTATTTACAAAAAAGTTTTCAATACAGATCGAGATGAACACTGAAATTTAACCTCATTGGTGTTCATCACTAATCACATCTTTTTTTATTGTTACTGAATTAAAACATCAGAAACTGAAAACATAATTATAAAAATGAGCGCTACATATCACATCACCTTTCAACAAACAATAATTTATGGCTATTTATTAATTTCTCCGTATTCTCTACAACCAGCCCAGCAGTTGAACGTTGGAATTTTCTACCCGTGATTATTCGCGAGCAAACTTCACTTGCGCAATGTAGGACATGTGACGCTATTGTCATTACAATGTGCGTCGCTACAGCTTATAGATTTTGGAACAAACGATAGTTTATCTCCATTTGTCGTCTCCTACAGCCGGGGCACCAGTGTTCACGAAACCCCTACAAAAGCAGTCGGTGAAGGACTATGACGACTGCGTGCTTAAGGTGCGCTGTGACGGAGTGCCCAAACCTGACGTGGAGTGGTACCGGGAGGGAGAGCTCGTCTGCAACGACCAGAGGCACACAATCACAACAGAGGTCGGAGGGCAGGTCGACAGCGAGCTGGAGATCAAGCACTTCAACGCTAGCGATGCCGGCAAGGTGAGGAAGGTTTCTTTTAGTTTTTAAGTTGTTAGAAGATGGAGTATACTAGTGATTAAAAAAAGGAAAGGGGTTGCGGGTTCAAAGGTAATCATTTGACACAGCTTTAGCCCGCGTGATAAGAAGGAACGGGGTGTTTTTTAATCGATAAGGATTTGACAATCCCTTTCGACCTACCCAGAGCGGGACAATATTTGACAGTTGATGATTTTCTTCCTCAAAAAAAAGGTGAGATTAAAATTATGGTCAATGAAAACACGTGTAGTGCGTAATTATGAAGCGGTTGGATAACAAGTAAGAGACTTTTGGACATGCACACAAAAATGATATGTAGAAATCAAAGAAAGAAAAAAATATAATTGATTTGGCCACTTTTAGCTACACAAAGCTATGTAAAATAATTAGGAAAATAATACTACAATGCAAATAGTAACAGAAAAAACAAATGCAACAATGTAGAGTTCAACTCAAAACAAATCATAAAACACATAATATTATAAAAAATTACTTTAACAATTAAAACAACAAACATATCTAATAAGATAGCAGCATGCCCATGCCAAAAGGGTTGCCAATCTCAGTTAAAGTTGGGCTCAGTGAGAACCCGACACTGGTGTCAGTTGGCTTCCTTGCTCTTAATAACAACGCAATGTTTTTTGTACAATTCTCACTACATCTGGATAGTAAAGTTTCCCTCCTCCATTTCCTCAGTACAAGGTCCGCGCAGTGAGCCTGGCAGGCGAGGCAGTATGCGAGGCTGCCATCACGCTGGAGCAGAAGTCTCCCGGGTTCTCGCACAAGTTGGAGCGGCAGAAGGACGTCGACGAGGGAGACCTTCTTGAACTGAAGGCCAAGCTCGATGGCAGCCCTATGCCTACTGCTAAATGGTGAGAGTGATTCTTTTAGAATATTGTGAAGATACAAGACAGTACAAGTATCTTTGTGAGGCAATAAATTTGGATACAATTTAGGATTTCTTATCTTAAGATTATATTATTATTGCGTTTCTTCTTTTAAACTTCTTAGTATTGAAGTCTGTGATTTAAACGAACATAGATAAGGTAAATTGGCCGTAGTAAAAACAATTATGTCCCTCCTCAAAGGATTAATGGCATTTCCCCTCCCCCAAATTGTTTGGTTTTGATCTACAACTATGTATGTGGTCAGGTTCAAGGACGGCGCCCCTCTATCCCCGGAGGACGAGCGCGTCCAGCAGAGTGCCCTCCCGGACGGCACGGTGAAGCTGTGCATCGAGCGCGTGCGGCCGGCAGACTGCGGCGCGTACAAGCTCGTCATCTCCAACCCCCACGGGGACAGCTCCGCGCTCTGCGCCGTCGCCGTTAACCGTACGTCTACTACTAGAGATTTTTTCTGTTCTGCCATGGAGACCTTCTCGCTGCCGGACTTGGCCCAAATTGGAAAGTATTGGGAAGCCGTCTCCCGTTTCTGCCAAGCAGTTATACTAGTTAAAGCAGAACATGAGGATGGAATCGATTCTCCTCACGCCCCGGTCTACCAGTCTTTTACAACCGACAACACAAGCTCTACCTACTACCTTCAGTAGTATAATGATACTAATATAATTAAGTTTATTAAAAATCTTCCATTTTGAGGCGAGACAGACCACAACTTACTTTTTCTATAAGAAATTGGAAAAAATATTGTGATAGCCTATTGAGCAAGTTTTTATAACCGCTTCACTAGACATTTTATTCATATCCCTGAAGATAATAATATTATCATATATTATATGCTGATATTCATTGTCATTGCCCAGTGCGAAATTATGCTCTTCTTGAAATCAACAATATCGAATTTAAAAATCACTTAAGTCTCTAACAAAATGTATCATCCACAGCTACACCAAGGAAGCCGTCATTCAGCCAAGAGTTGGAAGACGTGAAGGCAGTGGTCGGCCAGCCACTGAAGCTGGAGGCCAGGGTCATGGCATTCCCCGCGCCCGAGATCAAGTGGTTCAAGGATGGTAAGTGACTTACCAAACATCAAACATGGTACATTCTATTACTTATCTAATCGTTACATAATCTATTGTTTGGTATAACTTCTACTGGGTAGTACTTCGAGTAGCAGGTGCTAGGAAAAGAACGGGGTAGTAAGTTTAGACCAAGGATAAGCCTATGAGTGCTCGGGGTGACTTTCATGCTGTTGACATGACAATAATACTTAAAAATCTTTTTCTAACTGTATCAGGTCTGCCGGTACGTCCGTCTCAGGCGGTGAACTTCGTGAACCAGCCGGGCGGAGTGGTCGGCCTCAGCATCGACTGCTGCAAGCCGGAGGACGCAGGAAACTACTCCCTCACCGTCACCAACAGACTCGGAGAGGTAAACACATACGTACATAACCATAAATTTAAGTTTAAAAGGTTTTCATGAACTATTCGAGTAAGGCTCGACTAGTTTCAAGCCAACCGGGTCTCATATTTATGAACGGGATCCGCTGCACCGCGCATCGTCATTTGATTATTACACTAAAACACTTTAATTACCTATCAATGATTTATTTTATGTAAATAAATAAACCTAATATCAAACTTACGTTACGTTATTTACGTTTGCTTATCTCTTATATCTCAATATATTATAGGTTGCGTCTAAAGCGAAGGTAGAAGTAGGTCAGAAGGAGCGCAAGCCTGCGTTCATCGCTGAGCTGCAGCCCACCAAGGTCATCGAAGGGTTCCCGGTCAAACTGGAGGTCAAGATCCTTGGACACCCACAACCTACACTCAAGTGGTGAGTAACTATGTACTAACGAAGTTGTCACATTGCTTTTTTGGCTTCTTAAATTGACTTTATTGTGCGTATTGCCAAAAAGTATACCATCAACGAGTGTAATTTTAATTTATTAAAACATTCGTAGGTACTATCAGTGTCATAAGTGCATGGAGGATTCCAAATCAAAATCGTTTGTACGGCGTTTCATCGCCGTAACTAAATATACCATTGACGACATAGATGGCGCTAGTATACTAGTGGTATTGAAAAATATACATTTATAGTTTTTATCAGATACAAAGTTATTAACTTAATATTTTTTTACACAAATTAATCCTACGATATTCCAAACCTTTTTAAAGCAAAGCACGCAATAACCAGGATTCGAACTAGGTAGCATAAAATTTACCGATGCCACTAGCCATTAGGCTATTGCGTAACCTTGAAATAGACTGAAATTATCCAGCTCTTTATTATATTGAAGTTGTTTAGAAACTTTAACCCGATCATAAATCTCAAAACAGTTGAGGGTAATTTAATATTAACTGTATAAAAATTAAACCTTTTTGTTCAATCATTACATTCTTTACTATCTTTGAGTGAGTTCAGTTGCGATTTGTTTAACAAGTTTTTAATATTTATTTTTATCATGAGTTTGCGTTCAAACATTAATATGGCCACGAGGGCCCAAATAATAGCATTGCATAATCAAAGCTTAAATTATACTGGAATTTCGAGAGAAACTGGCTTAAACGTAAGTATTCTTTTAAAATGACCGTTCGTTATTTATTTTATTATCCATATTTATCGATACATGAAAATAATAAATAATACACGTCCCTTACAGGTAAAGACTGCCACTTTATGGATATCTAAAGCTGTTTCAAGAAGAGTGTTCATTGGAGCACCGTAGTGGATCTGGCAGAAGACGTGATATTGACTCAGACCAGCTTCAACTTATGGGGCAAGGTTATGAGGAAAATTACTGGAGCATTGTCATCTTCAGTAATGCAAGCAGTGAAAACTACATAGATGTGCTAAATGACGTCATGAAGATGTGCTAGTGATAACGTTCGTGCAGGACAATTGTCCTATGTGTAATGTTCCATAATTGTGCAAGTGTTTAGTCAGCAATCAGACATACGGATTATTCCTTGGCCAGCGAGATAGGAGAAATAGGATCGATAAAAATGGCGGCTACACTAGTTCTTAAAAGAAAAGATATTGTTGACTATAGGATTAAGCAATTACAAGACCGGGGTAGCTATAATTTATTTAATGGATAAATGTTCAAACTTAATGTTAGTAGGATAAATTTATTGACTACTTTATAACCAGCAACTGTTATTTACAGTAATGATTTTAATGTTTTACTAAATATGAGAAATAAAAATAAAAGCAATATTTATATCTACAGATGCGATTCCAATATAATTAATTATTTATTTATATTTACTATAAACAATTCGTCCCATATCTAATGACTGCTAACCCGGTCTTACAAATGTTATTGATTTAAGGTCTAGCTTCAATTTCTTCCTTGTTCTGGAACGAATACTTAAGCTATGAACCTTTGTCATAACACGATGCACAAAATGAATCACTTTAGTCTGCAAGTAAGGTTGCATATTATATAGAAACGTATTATAACATTGTGTTTAAAACTAACTAATAAATGACTAGCACAAAACAATTTTGATTTAAAATACTTATTAATCTTATGAAAAGTGAATTAAATAATGTGTCAGTTAGCTGAAAAGTTATTAGGTATAATATAAGAAAGAAATAAATATTATGTTTTAAGAAATAAATGTCTGAAATGTATGAAAATAGTTTTATTTGTTATCCTTTATGAGAATTGAACTTAGTATTAGTCTTAATCTGTAAGAAAATTATGTTACTTTTCATTAATAGTTAGCACATATTATAAAAGTTATTTATATATATTTATTAATATAATTTATTTCTAAAATAATATATATATTTATTTTTGTTGTCTTTTATAAATATTAAACGTCAAATATTTTATTTATATATTATTATTATTGATTTTATATAAAAAAATATAAAAAACCATTATTAAAAAACCTGAACTTAAAAATGGTAACCCGGAATCGAACCGGAGCCCTTCGACTTCATTATTCTATCATTCATAATCATCCGAGCTACCGATCACATTTTTTATGACATCGAAAATGCGGGTTAGTTTATAACTTTTATTATTGTCTATCATTCATTGCTGACGCCATCTTTTAGTTGGTTTGCTTGACTTGACTTAGATGGCGCTGTATTAGTCCTCGGAAATAAGAAAATTAACATAATTAATGTTTTTTTGAATATAAATATATTATTGTTTCTTAATTATTATTTTAACCATTAAAAACCTTATTGTGTGCCTCTGCAGTGTAAAGTATTCAAGCTTTGTAGGGTTATTTTCATTTAAAAGCAGAGCCATCTAGTTATCAATGGTAGCGTTATGCAAAACCTGTCAGTCAATAGTCGACCTTAAGCTCTCCATGCATTTTTGTCACCCTTAGTACCTACTAAATACTTTGCCAATATCCCAACTTCCATATTCCCATTTTCCAATAACTTTATCGTAAAAAGGATTGATATACTTAACATTTTTGGAATGATTTTTTTGTGTGTAACTATTCGCGCGCTAACTTCACTTGCGTAATGTGGGACTTGTTACGCCATCTTTTGAACATTTTTTTTACTATGTGCGTCACCACCACGGTCGCCGCACATCTATCTATAAACTAATATAAAAATGAATCACAAAGCGTGTTGGTAAGCGCATAACTCAACGCCTAGACCAATTTTACCAATACTTTTCTTTGTTATGGTTAGTAAAAGGTTCTTATGAAAGAAAATTTTAGAAATGTAGAGTGGTGGTTTGAGAAATAATATACCTACTTTTTGTCGTTAGCGAGATCGTTGAAAACCCGTGCGAAGTAGGAGCGAGCCGCTAGTTCATTATAAAATCTAGTTTATCTAACTTCTATAACAGATTCCTTTGCTATAATACTAAATGATTTCTCCTACAGGACCCACAATGGCAAGGAGATAGTCCCAGATGGCCAACACATCCGCGTGGTGTCGCAGCCGGACGGAACCCACGCGCTGCTCATCGACCGCGCCGCCGCGCCCGACGCCGGCCAGTACGGGGTCATCGCTGCCAACGACAAGGGCGAAACTGCCAGCAACGCTGATCTTACTGTCGCTAGTCAGTATTGTCTATATTATTTTTTATGCCCTACTCTAGGATTTTGTCCTGTGTCGTCGGTGCGTTTACAAACATACAATTTGACATATACATGACACCCGACCCGGAACAATAATTTGTGGATCACACAAAGATTTGCCCAGGCACCACCTCAACCGTGCATTTAAAACTTGTCAAATGTCGGCAAACGAGCTGACGATTTACCTGACGGTAAGCAACCAGCGCCGCCCATTAGTGGACACTCGTGGTACTAAAGGAGTTGTTAGGAATTTAAGAATAGGGGATTTGGAGATTGAGGATCGGGGGAGGGGGGAAGAATTGGGCTTCTGGTTACCTCACTCACACGGTGAACGAAATGAAAAAATAAAAACAATTGTTAGGATGATAATAACTCAAACTTTGTTGACAGGTCGTTCCGACGACTCCAGTCCCCAAGAGCGCCCTCGCTTCATCCACGGCCTGCGCGACATGACGGCAGAGGAGGGCCAGCCCCTCTCCGTGTCGGTACCCTTCGTGGGCAACCCCGTGCCTGAGGTCACGTGGACCAAGGACGGAGTGCCTCTCAAACCTAATGAGAAGATACGCCTCACTTGTGATGGAAAGAGGGTGAGTAATCAACTCATTTATTAGAAGTTAGGATGAGAACAATTAACGCATAGGTACAAGTTTTTGGATATAGTTCAGTCAGTTTTCGTAGAGATACCCAAAACAATAATTAACTAGTACATTATTCTGAGTCGTCTTTCAATCACCCGTCAAATTCTCAATTCATTGCCTAAGTCTCAATCTCCCAGACATTTTATTTATTTATTTATACTTACAAGTTACTTTTTTGTAGCTACAGCCTCAAATATAATAACTTTTTTATTTAGTCACGTTTTCTGACCTTATAAACCTTACCTGTATACCCAGAAATATTTCAAGACCACTATAAGCCATGTTGGTTTAGCCTTTTTCGAGTTTTAGCGAGACTAACGAACAACAATCCGTTTTTGTAAATAAAATATCTCTTCTAACTTTTCTTATACGCGTCAGTGTAAAGTCGAATACATTTATTAATGATTGCATATTGTTCCTACCTAGGTTGGTCTGGAGATCAGCTCGATGGAGCTGCCCGACGCGGGCGTGTACTCCATCAAGCTAGTGAACCCGCTGGGCGAGGACAGCTCCGACGGGAACATCAACGTCCGCAAGGTCTACTCCGCGCCCAGCTTCTCGCAGAAGTTCACAGACCTGCAGCAGGTGAGGGACTAGCTACAGCGTTGTATTTCCTTTAGGTTTCAGATTAACTGATCTGATTATAAATAAAAAAATTTTGCCAGTCTAAAACAATGTCAATAAAAAAATTTAAAGGAACTTGTCAGTTGGTCCTTTGTCCTTACAGTCTTGTTTTTTATAAAGCAGATCGGCAAACAAGCAGACGTATAGTCTAATTGGGTTTCCTGTAACCTTCCACAGACGTCGTTTCACGCCGGTTTTCTGTAAGAATGTGGTATCACTCCGGTAGAGCCGACCCATTTGTGCCGAACCTTACATAAGAATCTCACTAAAACCCCATCTCCACAGCTCCCAACATTCGACGCGAAGTTCCCGGCGCGCGTGTTCGGCATCCCGTTCCCGGAGATCTCGTGGTACAAGGACGGCGCCCTCCTCCGGCCGAGCGACAAGTACAACATGAAGCGCGACGGGGACGCCGCCTGCCTCTACGTCCGCGACCTCACGCCCTCCGACGCCGGCCGGTACCGCTGTCTCGCCAAGAACAGAGAGGGAGAGGCCACTTGCGAGGCCAATCTGGACGTCGTCGATAAGATGTCAGTAGATTTCTTTCTTTTCTTTTATGGGATAGGTTGGCAAAACACCTGATGGTAAGCAATAAGCGCCATCCATGGACGTCCGCGACACCTAAGCCGTTACAAGTAAGGTTTAGGTCTTTTGTAGGATGTTATGAATTTAAAGATTAAAGATTTTGGATTCAGGATGAGAGAAAGGATTGGGCCTCGGTCACCTCACGCACACTGCGAAACACAACGCACGTTTTTTTCACTCGTTTCACTTCGTTTTGTAACACTATGCGACCATATCTCCGAAGTCCCGTCGAGCTGGCCCATTCGTGCCGAAGCATGGCTCTTCCACATTTCTATGGTCTCCTAAATAATCATAAATTAGTTTGAAAAAATAGTATTTAGATGTTAAATCTTTATTTGGAAAGGACGTCTGTATATTATGCGACTTCAATACATTTCATAACGGTAAATTTTATCGAGTCTGGATTAAATATTTTATTAAAGTCATGGAGCTTCATTAGTTCTTTCAACTCCTTGATACCTACTTACTTTTTAGAGTACAGGAATCCAACTTATAAGGTCGACTGGAAAAGGCTATTGTCCCTAAAGATACCGAATGGGACAAATGCTTTAAAAAAATGTACCTTCTATATACAGAGCTCGCAAGCAGAAAGTAGAACCACCAGAGTTCCTGAAGAAGATCGGCGACATCGAGGTGTTCCGCGGCATGAGTGCCAAGTTCACTGCATGCGCCACCGGGACGCCAGAACCTGACGTCGAGTGGTATGTAGATAATACTACCTAGTCTAGCCATAAATACTGTAACAAATAAAAAAAAATATTACATATATTACACATAAACATTTATTACTTTTACAGTATGTAAGTTTAATACATAAATATAAAACAATTTAAGACATAAAAGCTTATTCAAAGTGGTCTCCATTGGCTGCAATACAGTCCTTTGAACGTTGAGGCCAGTTATCAATAGTAGCACGCACTCTTTCAATGGGAAAATTCTTCACTGCCAATCGTATGGATTGTTTTAGGGAGTTCAAATTATCATGACGTTTAGAGCAAGCCCTACTCTGAAAAACTGACCATAAATCATAATCCAGCGGATTAAGATCGGGACTAGACGACGGCCAGTCTTCAGCTCTGATGAAGTCGGAAACGTTCGTTTCCAACCAAGACTGCGTGGACCGAGCTTTATGACCCGGCGCCGAGTCTTGCTGGAAGGACCATTGTTGGTTATTGAACATGGTGTTGTTAAGGGGCTTAACTACCTTCTCAAGAATGGTATTTTAATACACTTGTGCCGATGTTTTGATACCTTTTTCGCAAAAGTATGGGTCAGTCACTCCTTCATAGCTAACACTCCACCAAACCATCACTGAAGTCGGATAATGCCCACGTTGCACTCTGTCGACTAATTGAGAAGCTTTCTTAGAGCTTTGAGCATAAATACTGCCATTTTGTTTGTTAAAATGATGCTCAATTGTAAAGATTTTCTCATCCGTAAACAAAATTTTCTGTGACCTCTCTTTGCGTACCGCTTCAGTAGTTGTTTAGATTTTATCACCCTATTTAAAAAATGTCCAGTGCGTCTCTTATAGGCTGCAAGTCCTAAGTCGTCTTTTAAAATACGCGACATGGTTCTAGGTGCTATCTTCATCTCCCGAGATAAAATCTTTTGCTTTTGGACAGAATTTCTTCGAATTCTTTCCCTTTCTGCTTTGACCACCTTTTTCGTACGAACACTACGTGGACGGCCAGATCTTTTTCTGTCACAAACAGAGGAGGTCTCATTGTACCTATTAACAGACCGGTACACAAACATTTGACTAATGCCAAGCGTGTGGAGAGTTTTAAAAATTGCATTTGGCTCCATACCCACTTTGTGTAATGCAATCACAGCGATTCGGTTCTCTTTATCACCCCACTCCATTTTAATATCGCAAAATATTGAACAATTTATTGGCGCCAAAATCAGAAAACACAATGAAAAATTATATAAAAATGACAGATTCCAAATTCAAATGTAATATTTTGTTTATTTTTAATTGTAACAGTATTTATGGCCAGACTATGTATTTTTATTAAAACTGTTGTATTTTGAGAGAACTCCAAAATATTTGCAACATTTATCAATATGTTAATTGAAACATTTATGTACTTAAAAGAATGTAATACCTATGTAATGAAGTATACTTATCAATTTAATTTAATAATTATGAAGATTCAAACGGTTTTTTCAAAAATTTCACTTGATCAAAAACAAAGTCACAAGTTAGTGTAGGATAACAAGTTTAACTTACGGTATAGAAGGTACCGCCTGCGGCTTCGGCCGCGTGTTATGTTGATAAAAAGTAGATAACCTATATGTTAATGCAGGGCATTACCTATCTACATACCAAATTTAAACCAAATTGGTCCAGCCATATTTGCGTAAAAGAATAACAAACATACATCCGACCATTCTCACAAACTTTCATATTTATTAGCATTAAGAAGGACATAATAATAACACTGGTCAACACTGGTTTTGCCACACGAACTTTGATAGCTAATTATGTTTTATCAATCTACCCTCATTATTAAATCACTGTTGCCATATGTCAATTAGCCTCCTATTTGTTGTGATACGGTAATACTCATTAACTAGTACTACGGCAGTAAATTAACAGAAACGCTTACAAGTTAATCGTTATAAAAATATTTATCGTTGAATTTGAACACTTTTTTGGGATTTATTAACCCTGTGAGCATGTCAAGGAAGTGTATTAATGATCCTAACTGTTTTTGTTATGTCTGCGGAGAACTTACATTCAAAAAACAACGACGAAATTTTACAAATCTTGTGATGGAGCGTTATCACCAATGTTTTGGTTTTTCTGTCGCCCATCAAGACAAATCCTGGGCCCCTCATGTCTGTTGCATAACGTGTGTGAAAAATTTAACTGAATGGAAAAAAGGTGCACGACCTATGCCGTTTGCTGAACCCATGATATGGACTGAACAGCGAGATCACGTTTCAGATTGCTATTTTTGTCTCACTGACGTAAAAGGTATAAATTACAAGAAAAAAAACACAGTTATTTACCCTAATTTATCTTCGGCTATAAGACCAGTCTCTCATTGTAAAAAATTGCCAGAACTGAGTGCCTAGCACGAATGACTATCGTAATCGTAACGTTAACGTATCGAGACGTCGATACTTCATGTGACGAAAACGGAATGTCGCAGCACGAAGCCTATCGTATCGTCTAGCGAGAGCTCGAATCGAATTCGTTAGTGACGTCATGCTAATGTAATCTAGAGAAGCACCCAAGTGAACGAATTGAATGAATTCTTGAACATAATTTAAAATAAAGATTTCGTCTGAAAACTAAAATTAATTTTAAACGTATTTCAACCTTCGTCTACACCTTTTATGGTATTATATTTAAATGAAAAAATATATATTACGTGAAAGAATTCTTAAAACGAGTCAAGAAGTATATAAAATGACTTTATCTTTGAAAAAAATATTATTTGGTTATTTAAATTTTGTAACCTAATTTACGATTTCCGAACGTTCTTTTGACAAAGGTGACATTTGACGGCTATTGACGTATTTTTTTTAACAAACAAAACAAAGAATGTAGATAGGTAATTATGCGGCTATCTTATTATGCGGTTACTTTAAATTTATTTTAAAATGAGGAGGACTCGGCTCCAATACGAATTAATGGTGGATTTCATGGAATATGCCAGTGACAAGCAGCGAGCCTTCAGTGTTCCGACCACTCCGCAGTACCCATGAAGCCAGCCGTTTACCGACACCACCAATCGCCAATCCTCCATTAGAAAAGGAATGCTGGAAGCCTCGACCGAAAACAAAAATCTAAAGTGAGTTTAATCAAATTGTGTTTAGAGAATGATAAGAAACCTAGGGAGTTTGGTAGGGAGCGTGAGGAAACATATGATATAATGGAACAAGAGCGTTTGGAATTACGACGAGAAGAATGAAGAGTAAGACAGAGAGATGCAGAGCTCCTTTTACAGGCTCAGTGGCTGGAACTTTTGAGAGAGGCAATAAATGTATTAAAATATAATCTAGTTAAAAAGATGATTAATGTATATTTACATATGTTATTTTAATTTTAATTTTAATGTATATTACTACATTTTGGAATGAGGAAAGATTATGTTAGAATTGAATTTAAAATGTCTCACTATAGTTACCTATTATAAAAACATAGGTAAGAATAGTTTTTAAGTTAGATTAGTGTGTAAGATGTTTTGGAAATGTATAATAATAAAACACTTGGGTCATCTGTGTAGTATATTTATTTGCTGTACCAGAATATTCCTTAAAGCCCTTTCACTTATCAAATCATCGCTTCTATCATTTTCATGTCTCATATCAGAAGATGAGGTATGAGACAAGTCTTGATGTTCAGCTGTTGTTGTATCTACCTGTGGCTCAGGCACATTGAAATTTATGACCAAATTATGCAACACGCAGCAAGCCGTTGTCAAGCACATTTTTCGGGAGCATAATTCAGAGTGCGGTCCTCTTCTTCTTTTACCGCAGTATATTGTGGCCCGGAGTTCCCTCTACCGCATCCAAAATGAGTAGGCGTCATTAGCCATGGTCGCTGTGGGTAGCCAGAATCACCTGTAAAAAAATACTTATTAGAAAACCTAATTTATACTAGCTACTTCCTCGCGGTTTCACCCGCTGCTCGACTCCTATTGATTCCATTTTAGCATTATAAGGTGAGTTTTTTGTTGGAGTTGCTGACAGAAGTACTTGAAGGCTTCTTTATTTAGGCGGTACCTAGTATTTCTAAACTACGTTTCAGTGATATCCATTGGATTAGATATCTTTCTGAATTTAGCTCGGCACACGATTTCTTTAGAATAATCAGTTAATTCGTATTATTTCCTTGAATACATATGTGTATATTAAGTGAAACATAACTTGAATAGGTAGGTACTTAGGTACTTACGAAGTTTCTCTTGACTCTTCATCTCCAAGTAAAATAGCCACAAATAAACTATTTCTCCAACTTGGTTCGTACAGCGGCGGTTTTGCATGATGTTATACTCGTAAAGAATACTCACAAACCTTATAATATATTATTTAAAACACGATTGAAATATTTCGAAACCTTTCTCACCGTCAAATTCTTAGTGACAAATGTTTCGACAGTTTTCGATAGCCAGCCTTCGAAACTTACGTTACTATACGTCAAAAGATCGTTCGTGCTTCCAATTTGTGTCAAAATGTTCTAAGTTTCGATAGCACCACGATACGATTACTATACGATAGTTGTCAAAATCATTCGTGCTTGCGATTTTTAGTTCCTTTTACGCACGGTAGGGGCGCTGTACAAATCCCATAGAAAATGCTTTCGATCTCGATACGAATACTTTCTCGATAATGTTCGTGCTAGGCACACTGATACCAGTTGCAACTACGTCTGTTGAGAACGACAATTCACAACCGTCTACTTCAAGTGTAAGTGATGCAAAGATAAAAGAGGGTATTTTTGTTGGCCCTCAAATTGGGGAGTTAATAAAAGATTCAAGATTTGAAGAAAAATTAAGCGATTTAGAAAAATCAGCATGGAAGTCTTTTAAAAATGTTGTTGCAAATTTTTTGGGTAACCACAAGAGTGACAGCTACAGAGAGTTGGTTAGCGAGCTGTTATTGTCATATCAAGCATTAGGTTGCAACATGTCACTTAAGATCCATTTTTTAGACTCGCACCTGGATTTTTTGCCTGACAATTTAGGGGCTGTCAGTGACGAGCACGGCGAGAGGTTCCATCAGGATATTTGTGATATGGAAAAGCGGTACCAGGGCAAATGGAGCCCAAATATGTTAGCAGATTACTGCTGGACAATTAAAAGGGACCAACCAAAAGCTAAATATTCAAGAAAATCTTAGATTTTCTAAGGCATTTATAAAAAAATAAACTTTTGATTTACGAGATCCGTATTTTTTCTTAATATTTTAAATTACTCAATAGAATAAAATCTTTGTCTAGCAAATTTTTTTTAACTGTTTATTTTTTATTACAATCACCAATTAAAGTAAAAAATATCAAAAAAGTCCATGTGGCACGACAAAGTTGAAATTTTGTTGACCAGTGTAATTAATTAATTTTAAGTTTAACCTTTCCATTGTGTTAATACGAGACACAATATGTGTACGAACGCCGGCGTTCATTTGGGGTTTGATAGATCAACTATTGTCTATCTCACCAGGTACCGCAACGACGAGCGCCTGTTCCCGTGCGAGAGGATCCGCATGGACAAGGAGACCACCGGCCTGCTCCGTCTCACCATCGGGGGCGTCGACCCCACCGACGTCGGCACCTACCGCTGCAGGATATACAACCCCCACGGGGAGGCGTCCTGCTCGGCGCAGCTTACCTATGACAGTCAGTACCTTCCCACAGCTCCTATACTAGAGATACTTGCATTTTGAGTGTTGTGGCTATTTAGAGAAATAATTCCACATCACATAATCAGCCTATAAGTGCCCACTGCTGAGCAAAGGCCTCTTCTCACACAGAGAAGGTTTGAGCATTAATCACCACACTTGCTCAAGGTGTATTGGCGAAATTATAAGGTTGTGTCCAGGTCGCCTTTCACCGTGTGTCAGTATAATCCAAATAATCATAGAAAGTAGGGTAGTAGGTATAGGCAACTCAAAAAAAGTTATATTGGTAGTGGTCAGGCTCAGAATACAGAACAAACAAACAGAAGGCGTCATCGCGCTTCAAACTGAAGCAACTAAAACCACTCTTAACTAGACTAGTATGAAATTTCTACGATCAGTCAATTTTGGCACGTGGCATGTCATGATGTATTTACGAGTATCAATTATAATTTCATTATGCCGTATTGTGCTATTCCTACGAGTATAAATGCGGCTGGAAATACGAAAAAAGTGGATAAGATTACACTTCATCTGCAAACATCGACTGCAATAGTATATTTAATTAATTATTGAATTTTTTTTATCGATTTATTTTTCTATGAAAATGATGCGGCCATTTTGTGAGTGTTGTCATTTTTGGTAAAAATTTTACCCATTTATTTATTTGTTGTGGGTTATATTTTTGTCCATTATGGAGCCTATGTCATATTAGTTTCCCTGACAAAAACATAAATACAAATCATACAAAGGGCACGGTTAGATTAATTTTGGAAACCATCTAGCCAGAGCATAGTTTGCTCAATTCACTTTGAAGAAGTATATTTATGACAAAGGTGGTTTGAAAACAGCATTTCCTACTAAGATATATCTATACTAATTATAATGCTGAAGAGTTTGTTTGTTTCTTTGCTTGAATGCGCTAATCTCAGGAACTGAGTAAAGTAAGTAGACTTCTAATCTTTAGTTTCGAGTCTAAAGACAATTCATATTATAAAAACTAAACCAGCAAAAGGGAACGCAATAAAACCTTTGTACTTATTGAAGCTTTGTTTTATTTGTTGATGTGTATAGTAGGTGTAACTACAATTAACACAGTCAGGAATCGTGAAATGTGTGAACAACTAGTCTGTTGCATTTATCGTAAGTTTACCTATTTTGTTCCCTGTTCTCCCGTTGTAAAATTACCCCAAACCAAGGGAATTGTTCCACTGTGGGCAACACTACGCGGGTAGGAAGTGCGGCTGGCGGGGGGTTTGACGTATTGTTTTTGGACACATTTGACGACATGTAATTATGAGTGAACGCGGATTCTGGTTTGTTCTGTATTCTGAGTGGTCAGGTTTCAAATCCACACCCTCATGCATGATATGCGATAGCCTAAATCTCCAGCTCACAACGGCGTTCATATATGATATCATAGGTACAATAACATCGTATAGAAGTTACACAGTTAGCATAAATGCTATCTCTGCATCGCCCAAAGGTTCGACTGGGAGAGAATGCCTGTGGCATTAAGTCCACCTTGTACACATATGTATGTGCAAAAGTGTAAATAAATAAAATAAATTCAACCATATTTATGATCATATCTGGCCAAATTTTGTAGATACTGTTTCCCCCATTCCAAGTTATTTAATCCAATTTAAATCTGTCTCACAGCTCTAGAGCCCCACACCAGCAAGCGTCCTATCGGCGACCAGTACTCGGACTTCGACAAGATGAAGAAGACCGGCATCCCCATGCCGCTCGCAGACAGACCCATCATCAGCCGCATGGCAGACAGACATCTCACGCTCGGATGGAAGCCCTCCATACCTCACGGACCTAGGTTCCCTGTTACTTACCAGGTAAGGAGACACTCACATAGAAAGAAATACTGAGACTCATTACATCCCCAAAAACTCACAAATGTACGCCAAACACCTTTAATGAACTGGACTAAATTTAATATGTAAATGATTATTACGTATTAGTACTTAGAACATAAGTTGCATTTAAAAAGAAGTCGGTTAAAAACAGATGTGCCAGCTAAATATCTTAAAAATCACAACATGAATTAATGCCATTATCGCGAAGACCATTTCATTTTAACCATTTTGTCGTGTGTACCTCCAGGTGGAGATGTGCGAGGTCCCGGACGGGGACTGGTTCACGGCCCGCACGGGGCTCCGCTCCTGTGTCTGCGACATCCGCAACCTGGAGCCCTTCCGCGACTACAAGTTCCGCATACGCGTCGAGAACAAATATGGAGTCAGCGACCCTTCACCCTTCGCCATCACACACCGCTCCAAACTTGAACCTGACCCTCCCAAGTTCATCCCCTACCTCGAACCTGGTATTGACTTCAGACCAGAGACTTCCCCCTACTTCCCCAAGGACTTCGACATTGAGCGTCCTCCCCACGATGGGTATGCCCAAGCTCCCAAGTTCCTTCGCCAGGAGACTGACTCCCAGTATGGCGTGAAGGGCCACAACGTGAACCTGTTTTGGTTCGTGTACGGGTACCCGAAGCCCAAGATGACGTATTACTTCAACGACGAGCCCATCGAGATCGGAGGCCGGTACGACTGGAGCTATACCAGGAATGGACAGGCGACGCTGTTCATTAACAAGTAAGTAATATTTTTTTACGATATTTAATGTTATAAAAACCAATACCTTCCAGTAGGTTTTGAAATATTTGCTTTCATTATTTTTGGATCGTAATTATTGCGAGAGTGTATCTCGCATTGATTTGATTGAAATTAATGACTTATTCATGTGAATCAAAAAAGTCGCATTTGGCCGAACGCGCCGCTCGCGCTGGCGTGACGCGAACGTTGTTTAACAATAAGTCCATTGAACTTGAAATTAATAGAGCTTTTTATTTAATTATTTCTTTACTATTTCATCAACTGGATACAAATTTAAAAAGGTTTACATTTTAGCACTATGCCATTTTGATCGGACTCTGTTGGTGTTACGTTACTACACCGTGAATATACTTAGCCTCTTGAAATCCCAATGTTGAGACTTACCTGTAAGAGGTCACAAGTCAAAAGTCAAGTCAAAAATCATTTATTCCAATTAGACCTTTACAGGCACTTTTGAGCGTCAAACAAAATTTTGAAGATATAGTGTCAGTCTGTCGGTCAGTCCTCTTAGTGAAGCTATTTACTCGTTCCAAAGTGTAGATTCCGATGGAGAAGAACGAGCAAGAAACTCCACGGTTACTCTTTTTAAATCAGTTTCACATACAGATTGTATGTACGATGTGTCATCAGCAAATAATACCATTCCCGGTTCACGTTGAAATAAATGAGGTAAGTCATTTATGTACACTAAAAACAAGGAAAGGACCTAATATCGAGCCCTGTGGTATGCGCATAGATATGCTAGCACCCTGGAATTCACTTTATTTAGGTACTTGTACTTTGAACTGTCTATCCTGCAGGTATGATTTTAATAAATTGAGAGATACCCCTCGCGTGTTCAACGCAATCAAAAGCTTTAGACAGGTCACAAAAAATCCCAATAGCGTCGTTTGACTTTTCCCATGAGGCAAAAACATGCTTAAGTAAAGCTACACCGGCGTCAGTTGTGCATCGACCCTTGGTAAACCCATATTGTTGGTCATGAAAGATGGAATTTATGTTAAAGTGTCGTAGCATCTGAGAAAGCCTTAGCTTTTCAAACACCTTACTAAGCACTGGTAAAATTGATACCGGCCTATAATTATTGGGATCATTGTCATCGCCAGATTTAAACAACGGAACCTTGCTAAGTTTCATCAAATTTGGAAAAACTCCCTGATCTACACTTCTATTTAAAAATAAAGCTAAATAAGGCGCTATAGCTTCTAAAAAAAGACCTACATACCGCAACAGACATTCCCCATAGATCCTCTGTAGACTTTACTTTTATGTATTTAAACGCCTTTATTACTGATTGCGGGCCCGTGTACTGACTTTCCGTCTTTAACATTTCTTTTAAGAAGACTAATAAAGACGAAATAATTAAACTAATAATAAATGGGCAAAAGTTAGAATTTGTTAACGAGACTATGTTCCTAGGTATTACGCTAGACAATAAACTTCAATGGGGTTCCCACATAAAGACGCTTTCGGGAAGACTGAGCTCAGCTGTTTTTGCAGTTAGACAGATTAGACAGCTCACAGACGTGAACACAGCAAGGCTTGTTTATTTTAGCTATTTTCACAGCATTTTGTCGTACGGAATTTTGCTGTGGGGTCCGAAGTAGATTCAAAATTTATTTTGCAAAAGCTGTCTATCCGAGCGATATATAACTTGCCCCCTCGTGAATCTCTGAGAGAACTAATTAAAACAATAAATATCCTAACGGTACCTTGTCAGTTTATATATGAAAATATTATCGTAAGAAAAAATTTGCAATTATTTGAAAAAAGAAGCGATAGACATAATTTTAATACTAGAGGCAAAGATAGGCTGGCTGTGTCACGATTCCGTCTGTCCAAAGTACAGAAATCCTACCTATATGGGGTTCTGTGTAAATTGTTACAATAAAATTCCAAGAAGTGTATTAAATCTTAATGTAAACGCGAATTGTGTAGACAGGCATACTACAAACTTTCAGATTATATTGAGGATAAGAATGCCTGGCAGCATGTTGGTTCGGCTCCACTGGACAATACTCAAATATGTAGTCAGTAGTTATTAAAATTCTCAAAATTAATGAAACCTTGAATGAGTTTATATAGAAGCATTCTTTTGGATTGTGAGTACGCATATGTGAGCGCCATGTTCGAGACAACAAAGGATTAAAATTTTAATGATAGATTAGATAGACCATCATTTGTTCCTTTTTATTAACAACTCTGCATTGTTCTCACATAGGGGTACAGTAATGTATAAAAAATGTATTATTGGTGAATTGTATAACAAATATTTTTTTAAAAAAGAGTAACGATGGAGTTTCTTGCTCGTTCTTCTCCATTCGAAACTACAATTTGGAACGAGCACCCAGCTTCACTGACGAACAGACTGACGAGACTACTTACTATTCTATTTTGACGTTTCAAAAGTACCTATTTATGGTTTAGTTGGAATAAATGATTTTGATTTGATTTGATTTGACTAATAGAAAGTGCCGGAGATGATTCTAAGTCTCTCGTAGTTTTAATGGGGATATTCTTGAAAATTTTTTCGAGTTCTTGGGCATCTTCTTGATTTGCATTAACTCGTCCATTATCCGTATTTAAATTAAATTCCGTGTTATGCAATTTATTTCTGCCTGTCTCGTTATTAATAACCTTCCACGTAGCTTTTGTTTTATTTTCAGCATTCTTAATCTTATTGCCAATATAAAGTGATTGAGCTTGCTTACAGACTGTTTTAAATATTTTTGCATATTTGGACACATGCTTGCTGAAGGCTTCACTAGTATCAAATGGTTTCATACCATATAGCTCAAATAACCTTTCCCTATTTCTACGAATACCTGGGGTAGCCCAGTCACAGAATAGAAATTTACACTCAATAGTTTTTCTTCTTAAGGGGAATATTTTATCAAACTGGGTTTTAATCACGGATACAAGTACTAAATAGACTGTTACATGATCATGACTTCAAATGGTAGACAAAAACAGAGTACTTTGCATAACAAACACATCATAGTCATTCAAAAGGTGAATTTGATATCATCATTTTGCGTTGTAAAAAATTGATTTTTTGGTATTTGTGTGATTAGTCCTTTGATTAGGTATTATTTATTTATTGATGTAATAGGTACATTGTAAGTTTTACTTATGACCGACAAAACAAAACACAGTGTTTCTGTCGGATTGAAAGTGATTAATTTTAAACTATTATCTTACCAACTTTGTTCACAATATTATATATAAGTATATTATATATAAGTGCATGTACTACCCAGGATGTTGGAGCGGGACGCGGGCTGGTACGAGGCGGTGGCGAGCAACGAGCACGGGCAGGCGCGGCAGCGGGTGCGCCTCGAGCTGGCCGAGTACCCGCGCTTCCTGCGCCGCCCCGACGAGCTCGTACTGCTGCAGCGACGGACGGGCCGCCTCGAGGCGCGCGTCGCCGGCGTGCCATACCCCGACATCAAGTGGTACAAGGACTGGCAGCCACTCGCGCCCAGTGCCAGGATCAAGGTAAACGGATACTGTACGATCTCGGGTTTCTGGTATAAGCGCAATAATGTAGCACCGAGACCTCGACCTTGGTGGTTTTCAGTCAGCAAGAGTCTGGTACTCCCTTTCCGCACACTACCTAGTCGTGCAACGCCAATTGATGACTTCAATCTCATCAAAAAAAAAAAACAAAAAATGTACAAATAGTGATACTATTGTATAGTTTTGTCTATTTCGTTATCGATTATATTCATAGTCAAACACACAAAATTAGTAAAAAATTACTTTGGACGATATATTTTGATAGTAATAGTATCTCTTAAAATTATCAAAGAAAGTATTTAGGAAATGTTCCCTGCATATCAAAAACGCTATGCAATTATCGAATTAACTTTCAAATTGTAATAAAGTGCCTAAAACACTTGTTGAACTTATGTCTTTCATTTTATTTTTCAACATTATCGCTTGTCACGAAAACAGAGATTTCTTATCACGTATCCCTAATTTATACCCACTTGCAGATCCAGTTCATCGAGCCAGACATCTGCCAGCTGGTGATCCACGACGCCATCTTGAAGGACGAGGGCCTGTACTCCATCTCCGCGCGCAACGTGGCCGGCTCCGTGAGCTCGTCCGCCATGGTCTATGTCGAGGAGTCCGAGCACGAGTACAGCGACAGGTAAGTCAAAACTTACACCTTGGAGGTTTCATACTAGAACTAGCTTGTGCTAGCGACTACATACGCCCAATAGAGCATTTTAGCAAACAAGCAGATAATCACCTGATGGTAAGCAAACAGCGGTGCGCATGGATACCTACAACATCGAAGAGCTACAAATGCGTTGCTGGCCTTTTTGTGAGGTTCTAAGAATTAGGGTTGGAAGGGGGAAAGGATTGGGAATCCGTTAACCTCAATCACTCAGCGAAAGCAACGTAAGCGTTGTCTCACGAAAGTTTTCTGTGAGGCCATGGTATCACTCCGGTCAAGCCGACCCATTTCTATCAAAACATGGCTCTCCTAAGCTTAAGTTTTTAGTTGATATCCATTCCCGTAGAAATTTAGAGATAACCGCATCTTGAGGAACTCTTATCCTCAATTTTCTTGGTGCAATAGTCTTGACTGTTCTTTGTTTGACCGCCAGTCCACACGTTTTAAATGCCTTAATTTTTTTTGTACCTATATTGATTGGTCACGATTTTTTATGTTCTTGACACATTCGCCATATATATTGCAGGATCCGCGAGCACCCCCCACGTATAAAGGCCAGCACGAAACCGTTCGGAGACTTCTATGACCTTGGAGACGAGCTCGGCAGGGGCGTGCAGGGGGTCGTGTACCATGCCGCGGAGAGACTTACTGGTATGTATACTACATTGTTATATATAAGTGTGTACTATATGTACATTATTATTATTATATATATATTATATACTTGAACACACTAGCAGCTTAGAAAACTGATGCGTGCGTATTAATGGATTTGGAGATTTTGTCGAGTCTGTTTTTAAAATGAAACTATATTGCTTAAACACAACATAGGATTGACGCGAAGTGGGATTTTTATTTGGGTGATATATATTTTTTTTCTTCTGGTTTCGCACAGGAAACTTCAAATGTAGACTTCTTAAATGATGATAAACTAATAATTTACCAAATAATCTGTATAAGGAACTGATAGTAAAAGAGTAACCATGGGGTTTCTTGCTTGTTCTTCTCCATCGGAATCCAGACTTTCGCATGAGCAAATAGTTTCACTAAGTCAGAGATTATTAAGCTTTGAGGTACCGCGGCCTCGGCCTAGAGGAAGAGAAGCAACGGCAGGTTTTAGTCAGTAAGAGTCTGACAATCCCACCCGCCCAACCTAGGGCTGGAAAAGTCATTTTATGATTTTTCCCTGACAAAGTAGACCTTCTACTTGACTCTTGACTTTTTGACTTTTGACTAAACATTATTAAGACGAAGTCCCGAAAAATACAATTACATACAACAGCTTCATTACAGTATTTTCACCATCTTTTTCCCGTCAGGTCGCAACTACGCCGCCAAGATAATGCACGGCCACTCCGCGCTGAAACCGTTCATGAAGAACGAGCTGGACATCCTGAACCTGCTGAACGACCGGCACCTGGTGCGCCTGCACGACGCGTACGAGCACGAGCACACCCTCGCGCTCGTGCTCGAGCTCGCGGGGGGCGGCGAGCTCGTTCGGGACAGGCTGCTGCGCTCCCAGTACTACACCGAGAGGGAGATCGCCGGGTACATACGACAAGTGCTGCGCGGGCTCAAGTACATGCATGACAACAGCGTCGCGCATCTTGGACTCACGGTCAGTTGTGGTTCTTGACTGGTTTACAATAGCTTCTTTAGAGCTACTCTACCATATTTTTAAGTGTAGGTACTTGAACTTTAGCACCTAGGTTCTATGGGGAGCAGACTAAAGTTTCAAAAGTACCTGTAGGTATATAATATAGCGTGAATAAATGATTTCTGGCTTTGATTTTGAACCGTTAAAGTTTATATCAAGCTAAAAAAGCTTGATATAAACTTTCACTGCCTAGCCAAAAAATCTAAATTAGCCTCAAATAAAATATATTGGTAACTTTTTATTAATATCGTCTACGAAGTATAATAATATTGTATTTACCCCGTCAGATCGGCGAGCTGCTCCTGTCCCACGCAGGCAGCGACGAGCTGAAGCTGTGCGACTTCGGTCTGTCTCGCCGCATCCAGTTCAGCAAGCACGCCAGCCTCGACTATGGCATGCCCGAGTTTGTGGCGCCCGAGGTCGCTGCAGGAGAGGGAGTCTCCTTCGCGGCCGACCTCTGGAGTCTTGGCATCATCACTTACATCCTGCTCAGCGGACACTCGCCCTTCCGCGGGGTCAACGACCGCGAAACCCTCACCCGCATCCGTGAGGGTCGCTGGGAGTGGCACGACGAGGAGTGGTGGTCCCGCCTCAGCACCGAGTCCCGGGACTTTATCTCCAAACTCCTCGTGTACAACTGGCACGAACGTATCGATGTCAACACCGCACTCTCCCATCCCTGGCTGAACCTCGCTGATAAGATCTACCAAGAAGAGTACCAGATCACCACCGACAGGCTTAGGAACTACTACAACCTCTACAGGTCAGTTACAATCAAAAATGCTTAACACAAACACTAGCTATGCCCTTGCTCTTGCACAATGTTTCGGAAACTCGCGTAAAAATCTTAAACCAAAAATACAAGCAACATGTTATCTTATGTCGACACTAGTAAAGAAACTGGGTGCTTACCTACTCCAACATTTCTCTCTTAAAATATAAATAATATTATAATTAGCCATGGGCTGTCAGAGTCTAAAAAATCCCAGTCTCATGATGATTCTGGCCTTAAAAATGATGTACAAGACATTTCTCATGCGTCGAGATTCCTTCTTTATAGAGTGGGCGTAAGATTTACAACTAATTAAATTAACGGGATTAAAGGTTCGCTCACACTGCAGTCATAACCAGACTGATGATGAGTTCTTATCGCGCGAATCATATTCGCGTTGTTAAAATATGATACAAAATCACTATTACAAGGGGTAAATTTTACTCTAATACTCGTAATAAATAGGTAGGTAAGCGAGATCTAGATATCTAATTTCAGAGTAAATCTCTGTCAATTTTTTCGTAAACGATATCGTACAACCGCGCGTCTACACAAACCGCTCGGTTCAATGCCCATCCTAAAAGCAATCCCTAGCCGGAAAATGACAATGATTCAATATCATTATGTCATATCGATATATTTGGCAGCGCCCTCAATCAATTACTCGGAGCCAATAACTAAAATAAAGCTTGGCATCAATGGCATAGGCCACGCTTGTACAAACGTTGGTAAACATTAGGTATTGTGCTAGTCATACAGTCGACGTATCTTTGAGTCACCGCCAAACAGTACTATGTACAGTCTTGACGGGAAACAAGTGCAGTATATTTGAGCAAAAAGTGTGCAAATTGTATAAAAATGAAGACCATAAAAGGTGTAATCGATTGGATCAGGGACTGGACCAGCAACGCGCAATGCCGCACGTGGTTCCGCCGCAAGCCGCTCAGCGGCGCCTACGAGCATCCCTCCAAGATGGTGTACCCGCCTGGAGAAACATATACTCCTGAAGGTTAGTATTCATCCATACACGCTAGGTACTAATTATATCTCGAAACCGTATTTATATCCAAATTACATTTGCCTTGTAATGTAACGATTAAAAATCGGTTTCGAATGATTCTTGGTTTAAACTACCTACATAAATTACTTTTTTTTAAATAAAACCTTTCAAAGCACATACCAGAACCCAAGGTAAAATGGCCTTTTAAAATCTTTACTCTATTTCTCTTCCCTTGCTTCATTATCTCTAACTGCTTCTTTTAAGAGTAGGTACTCAATGATGTTTTGTACCTAATAAAGTTTACCCTCCCGCAGCCACCCCGGACCGGGACCGCGTCCCCCACGACCGCGAGCCGGGCCAGCACGACATCAACTTCAAGCAGTGGGACCACCCCGACTGGGAGGTCTCCGCCACATCCGAGAGCCAGTACGTTACTCTATCCACATACTTATAAACAATTTACATATTACATGACTTTATTAACACACTGGTGGAGTTAAACGGTGTAACATTAAGTACAACATTTTGTATTACACGGAGCTCAAGATATACCTACACACAATGAAATTGACAAACATTAGAATACATAATTGACATTTTTAACATGCAAAAAAATACCTATCGCAGGTAATTTGCTTAATTAGCCGCGTAGCTAGTGGTCTGAATCTAGCTATTTGATTGAAGGATTAAATGTCTCTAGCAGGCCGTTAGGTAGTTGTTAGCTGAAGACATTGTTAGTAGAACTGCCAGGATGGTAAAGTTAGGTTATAACTGCTTTCCCAAAGGTCTAAAAATCACTATCAGAAAGAAAAACCACCAAAATTTTTAACCGATGTTATTTATAAAACAGAATAATGCCTGGTTTCCGAAAGGCCGATCAATGTTAAAATCAATTTAATCTATATAATCATCTGATTGGTTGACTGTGTTCAACCAATCAGATGACTTGACAAGAGATTAAATTGATTTTAACATTGATCGGGCTTTCGGAAACCGGGTGTAAGTATAGTTAATTGTATGGCTAATCAAATAATTGTTTTTGACATATAAATTTTTATCCACCGAAACTGGAATGTATGTGTATAAAAACGCACCTAATGTGATAATTACAATCTCCCCAGCTACCAGAACGGTCCGGACACGTACCTGCTCCAGCTGCGCGACACGCAGTTCCCGGTGAGGCTGCGCGAGTACATGAAGGTCGCCTGCAACCGCTCGCCCGGGTACAGTCTCAACGTATTCGACACATACGACCCCAGGGTACGTCAGCTTAAACTTGTTCTATTCTAACTTTCAACATCAAAATGAAATGCTAATGGTTTACATATCCTTTACAGACTCCCATCATCCGCGAAAGACGTCGCTTCACCGACATCATGGATGAAGAAATCGATGACGAGCGCCGCGAGAGGATCAACAACTACGGCACAGAGTCATACACCATCCGACGACTCAGGCACGAGCTCGGCACCAGGCTCGACTCCTACGCAGAGGCACAGGCGCTCATGGAGTCCAAGAAAGACGGACAGTTGCCCTTCTTCCGGGAGAAGCCCCAGCTGCTCCCCGTCAGGGAGGGAGAGAACGCCCAACTCTCCTGCTTCGCCGTCGGTGACCCTAAACCCGTCATCCAGTGGTTCAAGAACGACATGGTCATCGCTGAAGGACAACGCATCAAAATCATCGAGGACGACGAGGGCAGGTCCACGTTGAAGTTCGAGCCCGCCAAGCATCACGATATCGGCTTCTACAAGGTCGTCGCCAGGAACAAAGTGGGGCAGACTGTCGCCAGGACCAGGATCGTGGAGGCGACGACCCCGGACGCGCCGGATAGCCCGGCCGCCGCCGACGTGTCGGACACCGAGGTCCTGCTCCGCTGGAAGCAGCCCAAGTACGACGGGAACTCCCCCGTCATCTGCTACAGCCTGCAGTACAAGGCGGGCGACAGCGTGGAATGGCGCGACGTGGCCAGCAACATCGACCACGAGTTCTTCGTCGTCCGCAACCTGAGCCCCGACACCAGCTACCAGTTCCGTCTCTCCTCGCGCAACAGGATCGGCTGGAGCGACAAGGGCATCCCCACACACTTAGTCAAGACCAAACAGGCCGGCGCACCCAAGATCGAAGTCACTAAAGCCATGAGACACCTTCAACAAATCACAGAATCTGGACAGGAAGTCACTCTAGAGGAGAACAAACCCAAGCTGGACTATTCCATCGAGGATAGACCAGTCGAGTGGGAGTCATCTCAGCAGTTCACAGAACGTTACAGTTTCGTGTCGGAGCTGTGGCGAGGAAAGTTCTCGATCGTTGTGAAGGGTATCGACCGCGCGAATGACAATGTTGTTGTATCCAAGATCTTGGAGAACAGACCAGACACTGAAGTACAGATCCAGAGGGAGTTCGAATGTCTGAGGAGGCTGCGGCACGAGAGAATATCGAACCTAATAGCTGCGTTCCAGGCTCCTGGCACCTCAGTCTCCGCCTTCATCCTGGAGAAGCTGCAGGGCGCCGACATCCTCACATACCTTGCCAGTCGCCACGACTACACGGAGCAGATGGTCGCTACGATAGTGACGCAGATCCTGGACGGCCTGCAGTACCTGCACTGGCGCGGCTACTGCCATCTGGACCTGCAGCCCGACAACGTGGTCATGGCGTCCGTCAGGTCCATCCAGGTCAAACTCATCGACTTCGGCTCTGCACACAAAGTCACCAAGCTCGGTACCAGCGTACCACAAGTAGGAGAACTGGAATACAAAGGTATACTCCTTCCAGTTTATGTCACTTCATATACTTAGACCATGTTTGGTGAACATTGAGATAACTGAGCGTATTGTCCCACAGCCCCGGAGATTATAAACGACGAGCCTGCGTACCCGCAGACGGACATCTGGTCGGTGGGCGTGCTGACGTACATCATGTTGTCCGGCGTGTCGCCCTTCAAGGGGGCTGACGACGCGGAGACCAAGCAGAATATCTCCTTCGTACGGTTCCGGTTTGAGCATCTCTACAAGGAAATCACACAGGTACGAAACTTCTTATATTGTCAAATTATCTACTTGCCAAAACTTTACATCGAATCCTCCAAAATCGGACTTTCTAATACAGATACAAGAAATCGGAGTACCACTATACAATACGGTAGTTTCCAACTAGTCAAATTCAATACTTTTATCTAAATGTCAAAAACGATACTTTTCTATGAAAATTGTATGAAACATTGAATTATGACGTCATAGCATTTTGGCGTCAAATAGCTTACTTATTTTTTAAAAATTAGCTAAAAAGTATTTAAAACTTAGTGTATCGATCGATCGATGAATAAAAGTATAGTTATTTTTAAATATTTTATCGTATTAAAACGTCGAATTAATTTATTTTTGACCTAGGAAACTACCCAATTGTCAATTTTGAACATATCAGTCATCAACATGTTTTTGTCGTTACAGGAGGCGACGAGGTTCCTGATGTTCCTGTTCAAGAAGGTTCCCCTGAAGCGGCCGTCGGCGGAGGAGTGCTACGAGCACCGGTGGCTCACTCAGAGTGACTTCATGAACAAGAAGAGGGAGAGGGCCGTCTTCCTAGGCAACAGACTGAAGGTACACACCTCTACAACCAACTCAACTACATAATTATAACGTCATTTCGTTGAAATTTGTATCGGACAAAGTAAATTATAGAAATTTTCAATAAAACCAGTAAAAAGAATCGTGTATGACAATAAATACAAATTGCGTTTGGCTTCTTTTACATTAGCCGAACAAAGCCGTCGTATAGGATCTAACAATTAAGCTAACGACGCATAAATAGTGAAACTGTTTTTCTATATGTTTAAGGCGACTATAACATTAGATAGGTACCTACCTACTGTAGAAACAACCACTTAATTTTCAAATAAACCTTAATGGTTTATTTAACCTTAGTGGTTTGTTTATGGTGGTTAACCACTTAATTTTCAAATAAAAAAATAAACCTTAATGGTTTATTTGAAAATTAAGTGGTAGTTTTGGGTGGGTTGATCTTTCAATGGTTAGATAAAAGTTATGTGCGGAATAATTATGAATGATGCTGTCGCGTCAGAATGTTTGTGTAAGACAGTGACAGCAACAATATTTATTCCTCAGACAATATTTATCTGACTATTAAAAAATCAGCTCTACTAAGTAAAAATCATTGACAAAACAGAAAAGTAAGAATCCGTTTATTCGCAGGAGTTCTCGGACTCGTACCACGAGCGCAAGGCGCAGGAGGCGTCGCAGGCCGACACCGTGGCCGCCGCCTTCGGGGGCGCGCGGCATCTCGTGCGATCCAACAGCATACAGGACGAACTACTCACCACCTTCAACACGCACTGACACACTGCATCCGGGGACTCATCTCGCATCAACCTTTCTACACTTTTTACTATTGATTTTCCAAATTTCTTAGTCCTTAGCTCAATTCTAAATCGTTAAAGCCCCTTCGAACTCAGTGCTATTATTTTATCTTTACATAATGGGGGCTCGGGGCCCTAAAACGATCATGTCTAAGTCCCATAGATTTTTTACAAGCGATTTTTATTAGTAAGTCTGGACTCAGACCTGATCGGACGGGCTCCACCCATTTCGGCAATTCCAAGTGTGTCGCAAACACATCGTTCACAAAGTTTCATGTACATTAATATCATCCAAACGGAAGTCTAGTCATAATGAGGAAATGTTACGACGGTTTTGTTACTGTTAAGCTATTTATTGTATACAAATTTTTACTATTTATTTATTATTTAAACTAATTGGTATATTGATGCTCCAGTATTAATTAAACTTAATAAAGAGCATTGATTTGATAATATTGTGGTTTAATTCCGCCTCGTGAATGAGGTTTTCCAAGGCCCAATCCTTCCCCATTCCTTCCTAAATCTCTAAAACCGGCAACGCACTCGTAACTTCGGCAACGCACTGGTGTTGCGGGTGTCCATTGGCGGTAGTAACCTGATGGTAAGCAATCAGCGCCGCCCATGGGCACTCATAATATCAAAAGAGTTACTACAAATGCGTTGGGGCTTCTTTAAGAGGACTATCCTTAAATCACTAATGCCCCATACCTATTATGGGTTTTGATGATTGAATATGGGGGGATTCGTCCTCCAGTAACCTCACTAACGAAAAACTAAACGGCGAAACACAACGTAAGTTATGCTTCACGCCGACGTTTTCTGTGAGGCCGAGGTATCACTCCGTTCGAGCAGGCCCACTTGTGCCGAAGTTTCTCTCATACTAAAAATGTAGGTAGATAATTGTTTACACAGAGGCTAGGTACTTTTTTGACACTGTTAGATACCTACTGTGTTCAAAGACGCTGGCAGAAAGCAAGTCCCTACTTAATTAATAAGAGAGAACTCCACCAAACCAAAGACGAGTTGAGCGTAGCAGGTTTTAGTTTTAAATAGGTAAGTACCTACTTAATCAGTAGAATTTGGTTCCATAACTTGTCTCCATTCAAAAAGATAAGTATCCAATAGGTTTCTACAAAGATATTTGTTTACCTCGACGATCTCGTCGAGGTAAATCTGGGGCAAATTGGCAACGTTACGTGTAAATCTAATCTTTTTCGTTAGTGGGAAATCATCAAATGGCTTCTCCCACTCAGGATGAGGCGTGAGCTTACTGACTAAAAAACCCTCGTTCCTTCTCCTGCTAGTTAGGCCGAGGTCGCAGTACCTCATTGCGCTTGCCCGGCTGCGTTGATCTACACTAAAAATGCAAAACTTACGTGTCGTAAAACACATAAAATATAACGTACGTTTCGCCTTGTACCTAATTGAGGTTACCGGGGGCCCAATCCTATCCCTCCCCCATCCTTCAACTAAATCTCCGAAACCCTTCCGGAAAAGATCGGCAATCCACTCGTAACTCCTCTGGTGTTGGGGGTTGGGGTGTCCATGGAGAGCGCTGAGTGCTTACCTTAAAGTAAGTAGGTAAAATAGGTAATTGTCTTATGCTCGTTGATAGACCTATCGCATAAAAATATGATTTCTGTCTTTACTCTCAATCAGAACCTACACACATAGTCCGGTTAACCGAGATAATTCGACCTCGGAACAGTCTTGGACTTGAACGGCCAGAACTTGGAAACAGTCCAACTCAAAAATAGTCCAACGTTTAAGTTATGTTTTTTCGAAGTTTTTTTTTTCAATTTCGAATCTCAACGAAAGTAGATACCTATCCAATAAAAACTCGAAGAACAGCTTTTTTCTTTTTTTGCAGTCGAGCATCCACAAACGCTACATCGTTGATGAGCCTTTTGGCATGCCAGTCTATGTTTGCTTGTATTTCTAACTGGTATCTATTTAGCTAAGTCCTCCCAAAGATGAGAGCAGTGCACACAAAACCAACAAACCAACGAGGTTGTTTTAAAAATTACTCCAGGGTGTACGATGTAGGTACGTGTCATCTTCTTTTGACCTTGCTTGTCAAGGTCCTAGTTCCAAATGTGGGTCGCGTCGTTACGCAATAAAACCCATAGGACTGGCAGAACATTGAGAGGATCGTGTTATCTTCAAGGTATGAATATGCCGGGAGCACAGGCCGTGAGTCTATCTTTCAGTAGGTATGGGGTCGGTTATTCGTCCTACGACGGACGTACGACGCGCCGCATCCTGGGTTTTATTATTCCTTACCTTAATAGAAATTTACAAAAATTCTCAGGACTTCCACGAATATTGCAAGACTCAAAATTAACTATTCCAGCCAGTAATTCATTTTCATATAAGTACAAGATGAAATAAATTAAAAATTAACATGCAAGGTAACTACTAAATCTAAATGAAACACACTTAAATTTTATCATAATAAAATGATTTTATTAAAAAAAATCTATTCCATTGTATTCATGGTACGCCATGCAAAAATGACATTATTACAATTTTTAAATAGACGCGATTTACACGCAATCGGTGCCTTTATATTACTCTCCGTAGTAAATATTTACTGGTGTATTTTTTACTGTTTGTTAAAATAGGAAGACTTGATTTGCTAACGACCTTTAGTAGTTTGGCAGTATGGTCAACATTTACTTGATAGGTTGGTGTAGCAGAAAAAAAAGATTAGTAAAAACATCAGGGCCTCTACAAAAAAAAATGTCGTGACTTTGGTATGCATAAAAGAAATAAAATACACAAATCAAATAAAAAATACAGAAAAAAGTAAAAAATTAGACAACACCATGCCACAACACAAATTTTCTATTTGCTTTAACTTGCAAGTTCGAGACCTATTTATAGAATTCATCATAAGATCTAGAAAAAATAGGCTGTGACAATGAAAAATACACCAGTTGACAAAACAAACATTATCACCGCTTTTTGGAGTATTTATTGCATTACATAATAAACTAGGATTGGGAAATTTAGCATGGGACATAGACAAGGGATTAGTGCACAACAGTAATTTTGTTTATAATAATGACGGATTTCAAAATCGGAAATACCTAGTACCTACATTAATTGATTTCATATAAAAATCGGATCATAATTAATTTTTATTCTATATGACTTTTGAATATTTGCCTAATGGTAATGTAGTCTTAGACATCCAGGTGAGGAAAATCTTGCTTATATTTGTAATATTTAATTCATACACTTTCAGAGTGTATGAATTAAATACCACTAGACCTTGCATAACAAACGCAGGCACATAAAGATTTAGTTTTATGCATGACCTTAGATATTTTATTCACTAATTTCATACAAAATTATTATAAAATGAAATTTTGCATTGATCTGCAAAATAATTTGCTCAACTACAGATTCATAACAATATCAAAACTTGTACTATGCTGCAATCATATATTTAAAACATTTAAATAGCTATCAACTCTTTAATTTGGTACATAATATGTATGTATATGTAACTATGACAATAGTAATTATGAAAAAATACTTCTATAAAATATATAGTAATTAGTTACCTTATGTGTTCTAAAGTACTTTATAACCTAGTTTTATTGCTTGCCGGAGGTGCAGTGTACTCCACAACTATTTATATTATATATATAATGTATCATAGTATCTCTATATCACATTAATACAGGCTAAGCATATCAAATAACTATATAGTACCAGTAATCATTTGTGTATGGAATTAATTACTTTAGTAAAAATCTATAAATTTTAGATAATATTCCGCTATTCATAAAATCGATTACCAGATTCGTAATGTACATTGGAAGCACTTAATTAAGCAAATGATTGTATTTTCTAGATTTCATCACTATGGTTGCCATGCTAAATTTCCCATTAGATAAAATTCATTGCATCATTCATTATGTTTTAAAATATAGGTAGTGACTTGATTATGCAGATTTCATCTCTTGCCCTTTGCAATATATTCTTGAACTTTAGCTTGGAATTCAATTTTATTCTTATTGTACATTTCCGCTGCTTCTATGTTTAATGGGTCTTCGAAATTTAAGAGATCCTGGAACAAGGAAGTGTTTTGTGTAACTGTAGCAAGTTGAAAAGTCAGTCAATAGAATCCTACTAATATTATAAATACAAAAGTTTGTAGGTATTTTTGTTATTCTTTTACACAAAAACAGCCGATTTGGTTGAAATTTAATAAGTAGATAGGTGATAGACTGGATTAAGACATATGCTGCTTTTTATCAACACCATTTATAATATTTAATCATCAATATCACAACATCTTTCATTTCAAGGAAAACATTGTTTTGCAATCATAGCAAATTTTGATACTTTATTTTGCTCATTTAGCACAAAGGGCTAACTATATGAGGTGATGGGTGAGATTTTTAAAGAAAAATTAAAAATTAAAAAATTATTTAGCTTGAAGACTTTTAGAAAAGGTCTTCAAGCTAAATCACAAGTAATATGTTACTTTTTATAGTGAATGAAACTTAAACCAGGGGCTTAACACCATAAAAGTGGCACAACACCATAAAACTGGTAACTCTTCAAAAAGATAAACATGAAGTTACCTTTATCATAATGTAACCCTATATAATGAGCTTTAGGTGTGAACCCATACAGAGAATTACTGCACAAGGTATAGCTTCATATGGGTAATCCATTAAATGGGTTTTAAGCTTGAAAATGAGTGAAAGGATTACAACATTAATATAATCCATAATCCTGTAATAAACTTACAGTAAATAAAGCATTCAGTCCCCACACAACATCCTTCAACCTCCTGGTAGGTGCCCAGCCATGCTCATCAATGGATGTTTGCCTCAGTAGTGACAGACAGACATCACCATCCACATTTATATTGGGGTGCCACAACCTTGTAAGACATTTCACTCGCGGAGGCTGGAAAGAGACAAAACATGATTTTAAACACAACTAATAGTAGTCAACTTAATTTACTTTTTCTTTTATTCACTTTAGGTCAAAGGTAGGTACAGCATACAATTTTTATTATAATTTTGTTACCATATTACATCCAGACTACTGTATTATCTCCAATCTTGAGATGTATTTCAAAATACTGAATTCTGGTGAAGTCTGAAATACTCTGGTGTTGCACTAGTCACATCAGATGACCCATAAACTTTGTTGATACATGTAGTAATATTATGAAAAATAATTTTATTTGGTGAAGAGATTTTCAGTTGAGTTTTTTACAAATCAGTTTCAAATTATTGCAAAAAAATAATAATAATAATCTTAAACATTATCAATTAAAGATAAGGGAAAATATTGAAATACAAACAAAGACATTCAATACCTAATGAATAAATGAAATTAAATGTGAGTGGGATGCAGTACTTTGTTTACTTAAGGTTAAAAAAGGACAACAACAATAACAGCTGTTTTTTAATGTAAACAAAACAGCATATTATTTACATACAAGATACAAGAAAGGTAAGAACATACCTAAAATTTATGTACCAAGCCAAAAGGCAGAAATATTCAACTATTGTTTTAAATTAGTGTGACCTTCATTGAAGGAAAGCAGTATCTTCAAATAGTTCTAGAAGCATCTATGACCTCTTAAATTTGAGGTCAAAAAGATAAGTTTCTTTGTAAGGTCAACAAACTATTTTAATATTAACACTAAAACTGCTAGAGTTCATTCTGCTCTAAATCTTCTAGACAAAGTTTCTTATGAGAGCATTAACAAGGGTTGCACTTGAAATAACGCCATTATGACCTTTGGATCACTAGTACATGTATGCGTATTTGATTTTGAGCCAGACTCGTTATAAAAACCAACTCTCAACATACTTACAGCCATATTATAGTCTTCCGTAACAAAAACACTGAATTTAAACTTGCCTCCCAGCCAATATCCTTCATCGGGTGCTACAGTCAATATGAACTCACTCAACACGTTAGGGTCTTCGAAATATACACTACACGTAGCAGGAAGGTTCTCATTCATCTCCTGCACTTCTTTTATCAACAATTTATCCCTCACTGATATTCTTCTCACCACTGATTCGTTCGTAGTCAACCCATTTGCAGGTTCCACGGCAGTGTGATCCTTTTTCAATTTCCTATTAAGCGTAATCATTGTTTAAAGCTATATGTATTTTAGTTTGAGAGAAAATGTACCATATCAGAAGTAAAAAAAATATTCGAAATTATGTTTTTTTTACAAAACGCAAATTCGTACGCGTCTATGACTGTCAGAAAATACAAAAACTGATTAATGAATGACTGACAGATGACAGTAGCTGCAAGACTTTTTTTTGGAGTTTATAGCTTGGATACAAGTTCTTTAAGCCAAAGACTGCTAGACTGAAGTGTACAATGGTATATTACACGGCTACCTACCTACTATTTTATCGTAACGTTTTCAGTATAAAAACTAAAGACCAATAATGTTGGTTGGATGTAGTTTATTCATATATTTATAATGATATTTTATTTTAGGTGGTAGTTTCTTATTGATTATACGCCAGTAAAAGACCATTGCATTTAGTGGCTGGACGTTAGAAACGTTGATTGTCCGGACGTTGTAAAAAGACTCTTTAGTACTGCGTAAAGATAGATAGAAAACGTACGTTTTCTATCGCTTGTATAGGGGATAGTGCTCTGAGGAATTAATTAGTTTAATCTTTGACTCATTTTTCGCCATCAAATCATGCGACAACACTTTCATCTGTGTGATTTTCGCAAAACTTTCTTTCTCGCAAAGCAAAACATTGAAAAGATCTTTCAGCCGTGGTATTTTAAAACCGATACGGCCTGCAAACCATATATCTGAAATCTTCAGAAAACGAGCATACACCTTCTTAAAAGGCAGTCAACGCGCCTGTGCTGTGACTGGGGTAAATGGACGGTACTGGTCAGTCACCATCAGGATGATGAATTGATGATCCGTCCGCTAAGTAATTTGCCTTACACTATAAATAAAATGCTTAGAACATATTTTGAACATAATATTTATGACATCTGTAGTTGAACTCAGACAGTTATATATTCACTGTCATACTGTCAAAACAAAAGTCATTTTGTAAATCTAGTTGTTAGTCTATTAGTGTCAAAAAGTGTGACTAATCAGCTGCCCGAGAAAGAAACTATAAAATTGTGAATGAAATCATTCCAAACACACTAAGCTTTTACAAATATCTACGTAATAAGCCAAGCATTTGTGAAACGTGATGGCAGATATCGTATGGCCGTGGCAGTATAATTTTCCTCCATTTTTTACGTAAGTAAATCTTGTTTATTAATTATCCAGCAAAACTAACTTCAAACTTTGGAACAGGAAACATGAAGTTGTTAGGTAAATCTTGGAAGTATATCAACGAAGGAAATGCCCATATCGTTGTGCAAATATTAGATACAAATCATGTCCTACGGCTCATAAAAGAAGATGAGAGAACAGACCCAGAGAGTGTATACGATCACGTAAATTTTGTAAATTCAATTATGGTACCATTGTTGAGAAACAAGTTCTATGGTAAAGAAGAAGCAATCGAAATTTCTCAATATGATTTGGAACAGCTTAGCAAAATGCTACTGCCACACCGTCCACAAAATAGAGTATTTAAATCGGTACTAAGCCAGATTGCAATAAAGGCTACAAATTTGTCTATAGTTAGTTCTCAATGTGAAACAAACTTCTGTATTGAGATTAAACCAAAAGAAGGTTTTATATCAAATAGCCTTAGAAAGTATTCCACATGCTATTATTGCTTGAAGCAACATTTAAAGCTTCGAATGGGAGCTATAACACAGACTAGCAAATATTGTCCACTAGACTTATTTTCTGGGCAAAGAGAGAGAATGAAACTTTCCTTGTTAAATATGATAAAGAATGCACAAAATAACTTTAAAATATTTAAAAATGGTTTACTTGTTTATAATGAAAAATCTGAACAGGGTGATTTTGATTATATCTTGAAGGATATGAACTATTTTAGTGATTTAGACCAATTTCTAGACTTTATTATTGAAATTTTACTGAGTGACATCAATCAGCCATACATCAAATTGGAAAAATCTAAAAAACACAGTTTGCGTGATAAACCAAATCAATGTTATGAAGGTCAACATTTAAAAAGCAATTCTTTTATTTATAACTTATTGCAATTGCAAAAAATGACAGACTCATACCTGTTTGATATGGAAAATGAGAGAAATAAACATTCCAACTATGTGAAAAAAATATTAGAACAGCTTAGTACATTGGATTTGGATTTAAATATAGAAAAGGATAGAGAGACTTTTCTAAAAACTACAAATCCTATACATTTGGCCTTGATATCAGCAGTAGCTAAAGATTGTTCAATAATGATAAGTTTCTCTAGTAATTTTGTTGAAAACTACCCTTATGTTGATACTGGGGACTCAAAGATATTCTATAAACTGGCTGTAACAGACTTGGAACCAAAGTCTCCCAACACGCTTGTCAAAAGAAAAGACACAGAGAAGAAAATGATAGAAATATATGAGAAGTACAGAGAATCATTAGAAACGGAGCAACAATGTAAGTATTTGAAAAGATCTGGGAAGAGAATTAAATACATGTAATTGTTTTATTAATGTTTTACTTAACTGATTGAGGTGTGGTTAAAAAGCAATTAGTTTGACATTAAGAAGGTTGTAACACAATCAGGGAAACAAAAATTGATTCTTTTAATTGAATGAGTGGCAAATTAATATTAATATCATTATTACTTATTGTTCCAGAATACAACCCCATTCAGAAACAAGAGCAAAACAACTAGAAGCATGGCAACAACTTATCACAGAGTATCTAAAGACTACAAAACAGTCAACCATAGACATTAGAGAATCACAAAATGGCCCACTGTTCAATAACACTGAGATTAATAGGAAACTGTCCCAGGAAGCCATCTTAACTATCCTTGAAGATATGGCAAAGACAGGGAGAGCAGCTCCAGTAGATAAAAGTAAAAATATATGGGAAGTATACTGGCACTCACTTGATGAGTGGGGCAACTTGATATACAACTGGGCTTGTAATAATGGAATGAACAACTCTGTGTGTACCCTGTTTGAGTTGAGGGAGGGTGAAAATACTGCTGATCAAGGTAAGCACAGATTAGTATTCATTATTGATTGATATTGCCCTTTGTATGATTCACAAATTGGCTGTGGGGGTGATGTGCATGTAAGGCAATTACTTCTTCAAAACAAATAAGGCAATGTTTTGTTTCATTTTCAAGAAATCAAACAGAAGTTTAATAAGGTTTGTACTAAAGTAAAAATTTTTCATCTTTCAGAGTTCCACGGCCTTGACATGAATGTGTTAGTAAAGGCTTTAAAAAATTTAGAAGTAAAAGGAAGATGTGAACTTATTGAGTTTGACGACAACCAAGGAGTTAAGTTCTTCTGAGGACCACAGTATAGCTAGCTCTGTTTCTAAGCAATTATTATAAGTACACAGTTTTAATACATAAAGTGTTATAAATACATTTTGTTAAGTTATAACCATTTTTTAATGTTGAAATATAAATATATTATATTTAATTCATATTTTAATGCTTTTGCTTTGCTTTTGAGAAATGAAACTCATCATAGTATTTCCCTCGCCCTGACTAAACATCACACATCTTGTTCCGGGCCGGGATATCTTTAAAGCGCACGAAGAAGTCGTTGCGCCGTACGCTCGGCTCTGGTTCTTGTTGTTCTGTTTCTGTTACCCTTATTCGCCGTCGGTAGCAGACCCGCGCTTTTGACCGGAGTTGTGACCGGAGGGACCTTCGCGCAATCCCCGGAGAGATCATGTGGCAGCCGGGGCTTGAGGAGGATAGTTCCCTAACGCACTCCGCTTCCTTCTTTGCGAGACTGCTTTGCAGAAGGCGGACAATCGTCAAAACGTGATCGCTTAATGGTAGATATCCCAAACACACGCACGAAGCGATTTGACGGCATTTCGAAAAATCATACTAAGAAAATAATTTTATCCTTTTATCGGAATGTTCAAATAATTTAAGAAATTGTTCCTAGTCACTTGTTGAATATGGTTTACTTTCGAGTTTTACTGTTAGTTAAAACTAGTTCTTTTATGTTGTTGGGTAGCTGGGTAAAAAAATGACACCACAAGCACACTTTTTATTAATTTTATTTCAATCAATCCGTGTAAAATTGTACAGTTTCAAAATTGATCACCTACAATAATATGATACAAATTACATTAAAAAAACTACCTAAGTAGGTCATGTAAAAACTTTACAAATTGTATTGTTGTTTTTTTATATAGTATAATCTAAATACTTTTTTAATTGTGGTAGGTAGTTAGTAGTTGATCCGATATTGATTTGGTGGTCCGATATTGATCGAGACAGCTCAATTATATTAGGCCTGTGTGATTTACTGCTTTATAATTCATACAAGCCTGTTTATTCGTCCATCAAAATTATCCAATATCTACAAATATTTAACAACTTTTTTAGAACTAAAGAATTGTGAAAAATGTTTGTCTTTTTACAAACTTTTAGCTCTGCTGAAGATATTACAGCTTATCTATTCTTAAATATGTATTTCAAGATGTAAGTTTGCGAAGTTAAAAATAAGGTCCTTTCACAATCCTTTAATCCAACGAAAGTTGGTACCTACAACCATTATAAAGGATAAAATTACACATACACTTAACATTTATTTTAAAAATTACTATTAAACAATCAGTCTTCAACCAAAATACAATTTTAACAACTATTGATTTGCATTAACAACAAATAAATTAGAACTATGTACACGGGTGCCTTAACCGTTATTTTGAAATTCAAAAATGTAAAAAAGTATTTAAAAATTGTGCCTTCCCGAATTGTACTCTACTTATTGATAAATACACTCTACGCTGGGGTACATAAAGCTTATAATAGTAGATAACGAAAATGATGTTAGATACATCTATTTATATAGTTTACCATCTACAATAATTAGGTATAGGCTAAGCAAACCTAATCAAATAGAAATCGCAAAATATTACAATTAAATGAATGGCAAAATGATCCAAGGGCAGTATTAATTCGTGAATATTATTTTAAACATCGAATTTTATCAATTAAACACTCTACCGGCAATATGATGTGACAAAACTAATCACAACGCGTCGTTGATTGGCTACCATTAATGACAAAACACATGATTGGTAGGCCATTGTAGTTACAGACGACTTGTCAAAATATGTTTCGCTGACCTAAGAGGGTACCTTAAACTTATCATATTTGCCATTAAGAAATAATGGAAAGAAATGAAAATAATGGAAAATAATGAAAATGAAAGAAATAATGGGAGATCCTTCCACTTATTATATTATTTAAATAATAAAGCATGTACCCCAAATACACGTAAACTTAAGTAGTTGTGTACAGATCTACGATATATTACGAGGTCCTGATATCGGCGATATACTTACAATTATCTACAAACTATTACATCACAGATATTTTACAACAGAACTATTATTATTTTGGAATGTAAACAATTATTTCATCAATAACTATTATTCAACATCAACCACAGGACTCAAGTAATTCTTGCATTGAAATATATTACATACAACTAAATAATTATTTTTAATAATAGATAAAATGAATTTGTTATGTGTGTGTTAAGTTAGGTATTACTCGTACTACCTATGTCCTAGGTAGGATAACCGCTTACTGAACCATTTTATAAAGTAAAATGTTCATACAGTCACACGTCTTTGTTTCGCTTTCGATCGATTAGTAAATACATACACTCTAACATTCGAGATTGTCCTAGAAAACATTTGGATCTTCACGTTATGGCCTTATTGGATTAGCCTCTACACTTTCGCAGCCGGTCCTGCTTAACCCGTACTCTCACTGAACCAAAATTATTCAGACAAATATTTACCTTCGGCATCCGGTATAATACAACAGTCTTTAAAACTACCTTACAAATGGTCACTACATTCTAATGCCGCATTGCAGTACCCATTACTGCCTCTCTCCAATGTTCCATTTGCCACATTCGTGACGTTTCCATTGGTCTTTTCGGCGCATACGACTAGGTCTACTGATGGAACTACAGCGTTCCCGTTCTTGCTGCCCGGTGGACGATAGAACCACCATGCTAGGAAGAAGAACAGCAAAGAACAGAGTTTTCCCACCAACGCAATACCTAGCATGTACCTGAGAAAAGAATGGAAAATATTAGCCGAAACTGAGAAAGATTCGCCAAAACAGTTCAGAGAAAGCCAGATAAAAAGACCACGTCTTACCTGCTCATATTAATATTGTCATACTGCAAGCAGGCGCCCGTCTTGTTGCAAGAGGTGGACCACAGGGAGCATGAGAGGTCGATGAGGTACCCAAACAGTAGAGGCGCAGGGATCGTACCCAGCAGACGGACTTTGATCCATTGTATGCCTAATGCGAAAGAACGCTGGTCTTCTCGAACACACCTGTAGATAAATTATAAGAATTGAGTGTCTGTTAAGAAATCTACTTTTGTTGTAAATATTAGAATGTGCCTATTTACCTCAATGTAGCTGACAAGGCAGGCATGGTAGCCAGGAACGTGAACAGCATGACTCCGAACGACATGCAGACGAACACCCAGAGGAGTGGACAGTCCGTTGAGCAGATGCTATTTATGGCCTCGTAGGAAATCGTCGAGTTTGCTTCTGGGAAAGAACACAGTTTAAAAATTGACTGCTAATTGCTGTGAACTACTGTCTGCCATTTGAAATATCAGAAAAGCAGACTCCATAGATTACTGAATTAAGTATTATCTTTCTGGAGAAAGCCTATTGTGTGTAATATGCTCATATTCATACCTCCTTCAAGTTCATACGTCGGTAGCGTCATATTTTCTTTAGTGAGTACACAGGAGCACTGGTGAAAGAGCTGGGCAGCTCCTGCGAGGGTCTGCCTGGTACAACCAGCGTGGCAAGCTGAGTAGTACACGTTGCCATCAGCTCCGCATACGGGCGAGTACGGAGCGTTGATACACGAGCAGTCTGTGTTACACATAGCTGTGAGGCTGTCGGCACTGGAACATGACAGTGGAATTGAATAAGAATAATGAAGTAAGACAACGTGTGAGAAAGTGTGGGAGAGCAATGCTTTGGCTCGAATAGGTCGGCTCTGCCGGATTTATACCACGGCCCCACAGAAAACCTGCGAACCATACCTAGCGTTGTATTTCGCCATGCGAGTGAGGTTACCGAAGGCCCAAACCTTCCACTTTACCAATCCCAAAATCCCCAACACCCTTATCTCCAAAAATCGGTCACGCACTTGTAAGTCGAAACTCTTCCGTTGTTGCTGGTGTCCATTGGCTGCGCTGCGCTTACCATCAGGTAAACCATGTGCTCTTTGGGCGTCCTATCACAAAAAATGCAGAAGATAATATTCAATGATGTGACGACTCTTACCCTGGCACTGAAGGACTGTTGTACATGACAGTAACCCCCGCGAAGGGGTAGTCGTCACAAGTGAGGATGAACCCGAAGGTGAAGGCAGCCGCCACCACGGTGGCTGCCACGCACAGCTTGATGATGCCGGCGCACGCCAACTGCCAGCGCTTCACTAGCCATCCGCCGAGGAATGTGCCACCTCCTCCCGCCGGTACTGTGATCACTCCTGGAAAAATAATGGGACCACGTCAACACAGCTGATACGAAAGCAAGTCAAAGATATTGTTGAAATCATCCATCTGTCTTAAGGACAACGAAATACATGTTTCCCTAAAAATAAGTGATTAAAACTTACCCAAAAGTAAAGCAGCTTCTGAAGCGTTGACAGCAAACTGGTTCTCAATCAGCTTTGGCAGGAAAGCAGCGAAACCTGATATGAGCATGCCTTCTGTGGCCCCTGCCAGGTTTAGGAATAAGAAAGTGGGGTTTCGGAGCAAGGCGGCTGCGGCACGAGGCAGCTCGTGCAAAGCGCTAAATGCTGCTGACTTGGATGCAGCTCCTTCATGCGCTTCGGATACCTTCGATGCCCTAATTTCAGCTGCGCCTAAAATAGGAACAGAGTACAGAACATACTAATTAAAAAAATATTTTAATGATGAGGTGACATTTTTCTGCTTAACCACATGTCACTTACCAGGCAGTTCATGAGGAAAGGCCATCAAGGGTATAGCCACGATGAGGCACAGAATAGCAGATAGAATGAACCCTATCCACCAAGCACCAATCCATACTGAGCTGACAGGAGTTACGCCTAACCTGAATAAATAATTTACATTTTAATAATCAGGTATTTCCTATCTGCATACTGTAGTTCGTATGCAAAAAGCAAAAAAAAACCTTAACTCGAGTTTCAATTCTTATTGTTAAATGCGAAGGATCAGAGGGGGATCATTTTCTGCCATATTAACTTCATAAACGCTGTGGAAATGTAATTTTCATTCGTTAGAACATAAAGAAAATAACTCGACAGCTTAGAACTTGGCTGGAATCACATAAAAAGTCAAATTAAAACTCCATAACGCTCTCATACTCGTTTAACTCGCGTTTCCCCTTTTTGAATATGTCCCTAGACAAAAAACGAGCAACAGATCTGAAAACTCCGTTATTGCTGTAATAACTTTTGTAGGCGCTATTTTCGCAGGGACTATTAGGTGGGTAAACGGGCGGGTATTGCAGCTATACGTTATTAGGTAGCGATGCCCGATTGTTTTCTTATGCAAATCGGACGTTTACTCAACAATCTAACGTTGCTCTGCGGCTCGCACCGGTGGCGGCGGCTTGACTCAACAGGGACGGATTGATTCATGGCAATAAGTTAAAATTACCTACATTTATTACGCATTTTAACATAATTACGCGCTCACTCGAACTACTAAAAAAATATTTATTTATTAGGCTAGCCAACAGTTATGTACACTGTAACATTTATGAGATACAAAAATATAAGAAATACATTTGTAAGTGCAATAACTACTTACTGGCTAACACAACATGCACAGAATAACGATTAACATTCATGCCCGGTTTCTGAAGGCGTCGGTTATGTTTAAAATAGTTGTTGGTTCAATAAAGTTATCAATAAGATAAACGTCGGTTAACTGTCACTGCGTTTCTGAATACGCAAGGAGCCGTTCAATAACTACGTAAAGGATAGTAAGTTCCTTAATTTGCCAATAGATGGGTCTTTTGAGGATAACAACTAAATTTTGATTTTATTTATTCTATTTCAGCTTTATTACGTATTTATTAGGTACCTAAATAATTTATTTTCAAAGTTTTAAGTTATCAAAAACTGTTTCATTTAAAATATGATGATAATTTGTTATTTAGCATTGGCTGTATTGAACACCGTCTCAGTGTCAATAAGAAAAAAAAGAAACGTCAAACAGACATTGTTGTCGGTTGCTTGGGAAAACGAAAACGATATCTTAAAGTAAACTCTTCATCAGTAAACATTTCTAAAGGATTTCTCCTTTGTCTTAAGTTTCTGAGTACAGAAATACAAGAAATAAACTCTAGCACTTCCATATCGGACTCAGATGAACTGCTTGTATTTAATATGCTCCTATTCATTGCTCTTCCATAATTAGCAGCTAAAGCAACTTTTACTTATTGAAATCATTTTGAAATTTACCACAAAAATTGTATAGTTTGACATTCGAAACGTCAAATAAAGTTATGGAACTGATAAACGGCACCAAATGGCGAGTTAAGATAGCTTTAGTTTAAACTGAGTTTAACTAACAATGCAATGCTCAGAAACGTATTTGTAAGAGTTATCGAACCAATAGCGCTATCGAATCGATAAACTGCCGTTAACTGTACCTCAGAAACCGGGCATCAATAGTAATTATTATATAATAGTAGTATTGTGTATTGTGATAAAGATAAAAGAAACATAAAGCATAATTGATTTGCGAAAAAAGAAAACAGTACGTAATAGGTACCACTTCTTTATGGTGGTTATTGAATGCACCTATGTGGGTTTACTGAAAACGAATTAAATATGAAAAAAACACTTAAACTTAATTCCATAAATAAATATCGATAAAGGGGCTTGCACCCCTGCATCAGTCCGGCCCTGTCTACTCACACAAGAGCCATCAAGTGGGCATGTTCCTCTTAAAATGAATTAGAATAATAGAACCGCGCTTACTGCCTGCCTTTTGATTGAATTATAATTTTAATATAACGTAGGCACATATTCTCGTGTAACTGCCTAAGTAGGAGGTACATTAGAATGTGTTATTTTATTTCCAAGCCACATTAAGATTCGTTAAATTATTCATCATTGACTGTAAACTGTACTGAAAAAATAGCTAAGTATATATACCAACAGGTTTTTTATTATAAATTTTTTTGGTTATTAACTATCATGCCTAAGACATAAGTTTATTGATTATAATGATTTTTTTGTTGTGACTTGAAATAAGTACTTAGAGCCTTTCTCAGTTCACGCACGTATAATCTGATAAGTACCTACTTATTCGAAATTAAGAAAATTTTTTGGTCAAGCGGTAAAATCTTTCGAAGCTAGGTACCTAGTTACTGTTCAATGCCCTCACCTCATGATTGGGTTTATAAAATTAATCAACATGTAAGGATTCTCTTTGCCTGTAATTTAATCAGTAAACGCGAACACTCATATACATAAAGGTAAAACCAATCCAAAGAGGTCGTTCAAAACTCGTACCGCGGAAAATCATATTTCGTTGCAGAAGCCATGAAAGTATAAAATGGTGGAATTAATTTGGCTGAAAAGTTCCCTGAGCAGCGCACCTACGTGGTTCACAATGAGATGAAAGCGAGAGGGCAAGTTGGCTGAATGAAGCCGTGTCGCTGCCGAGATGAAATATTAAAAAAATGTGAACAAGACGCGGCGTGCGGTGGAAAGCGCGGGAAACGCACAGTTGAGGTTATTGTCGTTTACTTAGGAACATGGAATAGTTGATTGGTGCGCTTTTCGCAAACAGAATACAAAGAATTGGAAATTGGTTTGTGGAAAACTATCAACTATGAACCTACCTGTAGCTAACTATTTTTCCTTCGTACAGTTTGTCAAATAGACAATAGGTACTCACGCGTCGGAGTCGACACTGAGGAAGTCTGTGTAGATTGTTAGCATTTGTCCACCGATCACATAGCCCATGGCTGGGCCCACCACCGCCATTGTGTAGTATACACCTGCAGACAAGAATTATTTAAATTATCCGAAGCATTTAAAAAAATAAGAGAAGAGACAAGAGTGACCATTGAGATTAAAGTTCTATCTTTAGATTAGATATGTCCAAATATTGTCTTAAGTATATCTAACAACGAAAATTGAATATGCACGATTTAAAAAACTTATCATATCTGCGCCAATAAAACAGAAACGAAGGCAAAAGTAAAACTAAAACCTTTTTGTTGGCACATTCTAAAAAAACTATTTAACCTCTCACCTAGTCGATGGCGCACACGGGAGCTCCATTACACTTACAACACATTATGGCGCGGACAAACACAAGAAAATAACCCGTCGAGTGTAAAAAGCATAAGTATTGCGTTTCTTAGCGAGCGCCCTGTTTTCACAGTTAAAAGCTGCGACTTAGAAGTGGTAAGGTTCGTAACGTAGCGAGAGATTTTTTAGCCAGCCGTTACAGTGGCTATAGAAATAGTAACGTTAAAACGGAACGGTGTTGACTGTGTTGAAAATGGGAAACTTAACAGAGATTTAACTACAGTTGAATTGAACATGAAAAATTTTACAGCCCAACTTATTTTTAAAAGCTTCAATATGTTTCAAAGTTGAACCGTGCGTTAACATGTAATATTAACAGTTAGTACTAGGTGCAAGCGCGTCTATTTACCGCGGCTTGGCTTTGAGCAGAATAAGGATTAGGATGGTTTTTAATCAGTAGGAGTCTAAGCCCATTGCAGAAGATGAATAATAAGTACCTAATATTCCCACAAAAAATAAAAAAAAACTCATAGTATCAGTAGACTTAGACCCTAGAAATAATAGCCAAACAATAACAACAAGGACAATAAAGAAGTAGAAAAAAGATCTCATTTATCTCGAATTTTAAACCGATTAACATAGACTTTCTTTATCGCTGCAAGTGCCTTATCGCTGCGTATAGCGTAGCAAGAATAGTGTACGCGAGCTTAACCCTCGATATCTCTAGTGGGGCACACATCGCGCCATCTGACGGCACTCTGAATACGTTTCCTTGTCCTTAGAGACTCTGGAGAGCAGTGAGTGGTGAATCGACCGCCAGATTCATTCGGTTTGTTTGGCATACGAGATTGGAAAGCAAAAATTACTTTTTTTTTCAAGTGGTAAATGGTTTAAGATTGAAAAATCCTCATTCTCTGGATGACGTATCTCGCCTGGGAGTAGATAAAAGCTCTTGAAGTTTTGAGATTGAATTCGATTGCGAGGATGGAATGGAAACACTTAATGTAAGTATTCACTGGTATCTCGATTAATAGGGCTATTTTTTCTACACTATTTTAGATTTTCTCATAGAAAATTCGAAAATATTCACGTCACAAACCAGCAACCGCAATACCGTCTTCTAAAAGCAACCAATCACTTATCACCTTCAACGCTCCATAAATTCAATCTAGCTAAAATATTTTTTTTCTTAACACTAAACTGGCGTTGGGGTCCGCCGGACCCATACGATTGTATAGTGGTCATATCGGCGAGTGCTTTCCTGTGTTTATAGCGGTAACCCTGTGCGCACTATGAGGGTTAATAACTTAGAACAAAGAGTGGTTTAGAAAGCTTTTGTAATATTATTTTCAATATGGGTTGTTTTATAAAAGGATATGTCGGTTTGAAGAGCTGAAGAACCTTTTTACGAGCCGAAGGGTTAGGTTAGCCTTACTGTGCAGAAACATTTTATTGGCGGGAAAATAATCAAAATGGCGTCAAATCAGACGCATTCTATTTTTTTATACTTATTTTTTTATTTCCGTTATGTGCCAGTTAGTAACGGCATCGAATTACTGTGGGTAACCGGGAAATTGATATCATTAGGTGTCTATGGTTAGATTGATCGGTTTCATACAGTCTTGTTATATGGGAGACAGTTATCTTTCGCATGATAAATGCAACTGTTTCTATTTAAAAAAAATAGTTCATAATGTCTCAAATTTATAAATATAGACGCATTAAAGTGATTTTGTGAGAGAGATGTTCTATAAACACATACATAAAGCTCTATTATAGTGACGTAGCAGCGACGAGCACGCTGCTCATGAATAAGAGCCCCGTTGTAACTTGAAACTAGTAGAGCTTTTCTCAGTCAAATCACGCGTATAATCGTTATTATAAAAACGTTAGTACTATTCAAACATAATTGTAAATTAGTTCCTTCGTTATGGCGATTGCTCATTTTGCAATCCTATCACATACAAAAAAACTCTCTACAGTTCACCACCTTATTGATTACCATGTCAAAAACCAGGTACTAAATTATACTAATTGTAATCACTCACCTAAATAAACTGAAGACATCTTTTTCGACACGTTCTCGTCTATGTAGGTGACGCCGAGCGTGAACAGTGGTGTTGCGCCCGCGCCGTGCAACAGTTGCGCGAACACGAACACTGCAACTGCCCACGCGCCGCCCTCCGACGGTACGTTACCATCGCAACTGTCTGTCAACTGAAAATAAATTCAATTATACCTATAATTTTAGACCCATTTTTATGAATTTATGACTTACACAAGGGCCAAAGGCGGCAAAATTAAAATGGGACCGGGCCGGACACGTCAGCCGAAGGCATCCGGAGAGATGGGCCACTATTGTCAACCAGTGGACACCTCAGGATGGATGCCGCAGGCGGGGTAGGCCCCGGAAAGGGTGGCGTGACGATCTAAACGGCTATCGTCGAGACTGGTGGACACGGTCGAAAGATCGGGGTGTGAAAGCGAGATGGGGAGGCATTTGCCCAGCAGTGGGACATTACAGGCTAGTAAAAAAATGATTTTACATGCATTTTTTTTTAGGCAGAAAGTAATCAAAATCCTTTTCTGTCCAGTATGGGGCAAGGGGGAGTGTCAAACTCTTACTGGCTAAAAATCACTATTTTCTTTCTCTTACACCAGGCCAAAGCCGCGGTAAAGATAATGTTCATATATCCGAACACAATTCTAGATATTGCCCGATTATTGAGAATTTTGTTTAGGTACTTACTAAAAGAACCCCGTTAACAATTTTCTTGAAACTCGTACCGAACGAAGCCAATTGATTGATCAGTGTTTTATCCTAATTAAGTAAAATATTGGAGTTTTTTCGCCTCTTTTCGCCGAAGTGGTCCATTTCCAGCCTACCAATTCAATATAAGTAATTACGGACTGCCATAAAACTATGATTAATCAGATAACGACGCGACTCGACGTCGCAATGCAATCAACGATTCTACTATAAATAGGACACATCAAATGGAGAAATAATCACTAGAAGTAACAGAATATCCGTAAATATAGAGAAAGGTGGGAAGTAATTTTATTCCGCGCATTGAATCAGTCTGGGCTGCTAATTAGAATGCTTTATATGGCTTTCCCATTCAATTCATAGTTAATTTTGCCCTGACTGCTGTTGCACATTATATTAGCAGTTTGTTTTTCAACTCTAGCAATCTCGTTATTTTGTGACAAACTTATGTGATACAGCTGTTTTCTAAGTTTGAACACATAGAAACTCTTTAGAACTTTCTTCAATACGTAATTAGGTTATTAGTGCTAGGATTTTTACGTGCTTATAAAATAAACTTCTTTGAAATTTAAATACGGCTATAAAACTTTAGAATAGGCATGTTAGCCAAATGACAAAAATAAAATAAAAAACTCGAAACTTGTGTAAAAATATGGACGAAGTACAAGCGTCTGTTGAACGTGCTATCGGTTGTCCAGACGACATTTTCAGCCAGATATGGTTGGTGATTCAATCCGATTAATCACAGACATTGGTCGCATTGTGTTACGAAGGCCGCATATTGTTAGCGGCTTGGCTGAATGCATAGTGCCTGTGCCTGTGCCCACATTGAAGTTCATTCATTCAGATTCGGGAGCCATAGACAAGAGCCCAAAGTTTGAGTTTAACGTAAAATTGAATGAACATTTGAGGAGTAAAGTTTTGATTGAAAATGGACTGTTACCTATAATCTTAATTAATTTGAAGTTTGGTTAGTGAATTTGATGTACGTATACTCGTAACTTCTCTTTTCCGTTATTTGACTTGGATGTTTGATCTAATTTATTTTCAAGTGGCTTGCTCTTATAAAACTCGCGTAATTTTCTTCGTGTCACATTTTTAAGATTATTTTATGTTACGTAGATAGAGATGCCAGCTTATCTATATGTTTCTAGTTGAGTAGCCCTTAGTATTTATACAAGAATATCACTTACCGTCCTATTAGGAGTACATAAGTCTGCAGGTTCATTTCCAGCTATTTTATAGTTAGGTACAAGGAAATGTGGCAGAGCGAAGAGTAAGGACCCCGTGCCCATTAGGAGCACTCCTAGTCCCAGCCAGCGCGGCTTTGAGGAACCAGTGCGACCGCCCAGGTATGTGACTGGAGCCAGACACGCGAACGATGCCATGTCGTAACTGGAAATAAAAGATTTTGGTCAGTTTCAAGGGAGGTAGTAGTACAGTTTTAAAGAACGTAGGAACGTTTCGCGCAGCGTCAAGATAACTGTGACAATAGTTCAAGAAAAGTAGTCTCTATTTGTTTATGCGATTAGGCAGCAAACGAGCTTAATAATCGACGCTGCTTAAGGACACTATCGACACCAGACGAATCACAAGTGCGTTGTCGCCATTTTTGGGGTTAGAAATTCGAAGATTATGGATATTATTTAAGCCTCCAGTAACATTACTTTTGAGAATCTTGCCCCAAATTATCTGCCAAAGGCACTTTAAGAAAAATTAATAAGTAAATAGTTTTTTTTTTCAACCCATTTGTTTTTAGTGATTTTAAATGATGATCTACTTTGACTATGTTTGGCGATCGCCCACACTGACCGTGCTTGTTTTTAAAAGTCGAGTCGTGTCACCACATCAAAAAGATATGTGAGTTAACCACATAACATTAATTTTCAATAATTTAATAATCTCTATACATATTTTTACAGAATAACTAGCGACCCGTCCCTGCTTCGCACGTGTGGAATGCCGACACTAAATGACTCCATTATTTAACGGATATTATTATATCTACATATGTTTGTAACTTCCTCTTCAATCACTCTATCTATTGAAAAAAACCGCATCAAAATCCGTTCCGTTGTTTTAAGGATTTAAGCGTACATAAGGATCAGAAGGTCTGAGAAAGAGACTTTGTTTTGTACTACCTATGTAATGATGAAAGACCCTCAATTATAAAGGATAGCACTCACCCTCCAGCTATGACGCCAGTCTGCATGGACCTCAAGCCGAACCTCTTCTCAATCGTCGTGATCACCACGTTCACGAACCCATTTACCACCATACCTGTGAACAAAGCACCAGGAAGAAATTAATACAATGCAAAAAAAAAATTCACTTTGGAAGCTTTCTTGATCTTGAAGAGCTCAAAGACTTTATGTAATGTACCACAGGGAATGTTATAATGTGATGTGATGACGATTAAGGTCCTAAACATTTAATCTAAAGCAGTTTATATACCATTGCTATGTTAGGCTCAAGACGTTTCCCGTTTTTTTAACTTTGTCCTTCAGTAGGATTTTTTTGTAATAGGATTGTGTCTTGGGCGCGTCTACAAATATATCGCATACACAAACCGCCCAGACACGAAACAACAATCAAATTAGATCACACACAGAGTTGTTCCTTGCGGGAATTAAACCGGAGACACGTTGCACTGGAGCCAGCTGTCCAACCACTTCGCCAACGCAGTCAAAATTAATAAATAAAGAGCAAATATAATGACCCAAGCAATTGATATGCGCGTTTATAACAAAAATTAAAATCAATTTCCTATCACTAGGCAATATTTTCAAAAATAGTCGGACTGAAATAACCGATGCACTGGCCATTCCCGTTCGTCGATTAAACTTTCATGTTCCGGTTCGTATCCGGCGCCGGACGGTGACGGACGGTCCGTATTAACTGCAATAGACGTACGTCGTTATCCATTATATCCCTATTTGTTTTATTAAGGTAAATCTAGACGCTATTTTGTTTTCATTTGGATTTCTGCGTCAGATTTAAATAGACTCAATGTCTGTCTGTCGGTCTATTGCTGAGAATGTATTCGGACGATGTTGCCGACTTCCGAAAATATATCTGTAAAGAGTATGTCCACCAAAAATTGCTACAGTTAAAAACTATTTTTTATGCTTTAGGTAACATACCTGTTCGACGGAAATTGCGTGACATGTCATCAAAATGACAAAGTTCGAATAACCAATTTTTACAATCAGTTAACTAAAAATCTGTCTTCGTAAGTTTACCCCCTGTTTTTGGGAAAGCCCTTAGGTTGGGAACCCTGCAATGTGGACGGCATAAGCACAAAAGGTATCAAGTGTTAGAGAATATGTTTGTTCATCAAATATTTGTAGAAGATAAACAGAGTAGGTGAAATGTGGATCGCGCGTTGCCAAATATGTCGAATGTCAATCTTATCTTTGAAAGACGTATGTAATGTTTGGATTGGTATTTGTATATAACTCCTGCGTTCCCCATCGGGGAATAGAAGCGTGAACACTTCTTTTACTGTAACCAAGTCTCTAATATTTACATATACCAGAACATTACGCCTGCTTGTCCCTCGAGAACTTAAGCTGAAGTGTTTTCCATTCACTTACTTTCTTTCTTCAAAATAATTTAATAGATCTAATGCAGCAACGAAAACATCGATTCTGTTTATAAGATAGAAATCAAATCGGATCGGAATGCCATCAGACGATTACAAAAATAACCTTTATTAAAGCCATTAAACATTGATCTATTTTATTATAACTTTTATAAAAAAAAACTAAATAAATCTGGCCCCATATATCCCCGTGTAATGACATCCTGTAATTTCATATATAACCTTCATGATTGCTACCTACTGTACTGGTTTGAGTAAATTGTATAACTTTTCCAATTTATAGATAGCCAGTGAAGATAAATAGAGTCACGTTGGAAAACTTGTGTTATCAGTGTCAAAGTTATTATGAAGTTGTTAGTGTGGTGTCAGGACAACTAGGCTGAACTTTGTTGATCAGTGTAATCGATACTGACTAGTATACCGACCGGTCAAAACAATTTGACGGATAGATTTTATCTTTGACATATTTTTCTGGTTATTGAATTGGTAGGTAGGTATTGTGCAGTATTATAATAATTTTTTCTTTTACATTATACATCCGAAAACGTTTTAGTTTTATTTTTGCTTAAATACAGTAATTCATTCAATGTGGTCCTTGAATGAAAGTCGTTTCTTTTAAGTCATTACCACTATATCTATTTGTATCATGGCAACACAAATTGAAGAAAACTACATAGCAATGAGTTGTAATAATGTCCACCAATTAAATAATCTAAGTATAGATATGATTCTTCTGCCCAACTCCTAAGAAAGAAAACGTGATGATGTAATAATAAGGTTGGATGCTTCCATCATCTACTCTGAATAATAAATTACGAATAAGTAACTAAGTAATGCTTTACAGAATTCCCTTTCACATAGCGACTAACACAATTTGCTTTCTTTAAACATTTTCATCATAATTCCTTTAAAAAGCCCGTTTATTCAGAAGTGTGCTAATAAAATTTATTATAACGCTTTTACCCGGGGGTAAGTATAAACAGGGGGTATAAGAGAACATTTAGATGCGTCACTTTCATGCGACGTCACGTCCGGTCCCGAAAATATTGTGTAGGGCCGCGGTACACCGGGATTATTAATATCGGAACTCTAATGGGGTATTTAGACATTCTATTGAGGGTCACCCAATGAAATATTCGAGGTGTAAAAGATTGAAATGTGAAAAGATTATGGCTGTCTTTAATTTCTCATATAGCACGATTCAGACGACACGATTTTTTTCATGGGATAAGTCGACAAACGAGCTGACATATTACCTGATGGTAAGCAAATGGCGCCCCCCATGAACACCCGCAACACCAAAGGAGTTACGAGTGCGTTGTCGCCCTTTTGGAGATAAAGGTTGCGGATATTTAAGGATAGGATTGGGAAGAGATTGGGCCTCCGGTAACCTCACTCACACTGCGAAACACAACGCTGTGGTTGTTTCACACCGGCTTTCTGTGAGACCATTCGTGCCCAGGCTTGGCTCTCCCACACTTGTTTGTTTGTTTTAAATAGGCACTTAGGAACATAAAGCTTATTTTCTTAATATTAATTACAGGAAACAACAATGTGTGGATCAGACAAAGTCTTGTTCCGTGCGGGAATCGAACCAGCGATACGTTGCTCAGCCGCCAGTTGCTAAGCCACTGCTCCAAGTACAGTCAATTCTTGCAAATGTATTCCTTCTTCTTAATATTGTTCCTTATTAATTGTACTTATTAATAATTAAACGTAGATTTTCGCCAAGTACGCAACAACCTTAACACTTTTCCAAGATTTCCCGAATGAATGGTTAAAAACAAAACCAGTGGCAGTCTGCCTACTTCGCTCATCTAGTTTGGCGTGATTAATAGGTTCCATTGAGAAGTGCAGCATCACTCCAAGTGAATACAGTTTTAATTAAACGAAAGCTTTTCAATGAATTTACGTGAGAAGCTATACTGTTGAGCTGAAGATGATGTATATTGGAAACTGAATACTGTATTGTTAGTCTAGTCATTAAGTGGGTGATCGCGAGGGAAGTTTCTTCAATTAATTATCCTAATAGAAAGCTTCTGTTGATCGAGCTGATTTAGTACCTATATTTTGTGTACCTTTACAAGCACTTTTTGAATAATTAATATCAATCACTACATAGTGTAAAACAAAGTCGCTTTCTCGGCCCCTATATCCCTATGTATGCTAAAATCTTTAAAACTACGCAACAAGTTTTGATGCGGTTTTTTTTAAAGATAGAGTGATTGCAGAGGCATGGTTATATGGTAGGTATATTAACATCCATTAAATAGTGGAAAGAATTGTATTGTGCATTAATAATAGATGTAATAATTTAAAACTCGCATTAAACTTATTAATTCAAATGTATCGATCACATTTCAATTCACCTTTTCGACAATAGTTTAAATAACATTAAAAACCCTACATTTGATAGCAAATCAACGCTTGCCAGTATTACTCGAAAGTCCAAAATAAAGTGTTCCTAAATAAAAATTGTATAACATTTAGCAAACACAATACATGACAAAGCTACCTATCTCCTTAACTACATAACAAAAGATTACCTACATTAAAAGTCCCGACCACTCGAGAGCTCATATCGATTGCACCGCATAGTCCATTCCCGATATTAAAATGCATCTTTGCAATGACGAATAATCCTTTCGTAATCCGTTTATGCAGGATGACATGCGTGGTCAGACCGGAGGGTAGGAATCATATGAATTTATTTTAAATCCAATGAAAAATGAATTAACGAGTTATTGATATTGAAAATGTATTTTTAATGTGTTCTCTCTTATTTTATATGTTATTTTATCAATTACTTAGTGACGTTTATGGAATATGCTGAAATAACAGTCCATTAGCAGTTAATATTACTAAGTGGTGGGATGCGAAGAGGTGAAGATCAAACTCAGTAGCGTGCTATCGGAGGTGCTTATCTATATTATATACTATATTATATTTGTTTGTTTGATCGCGCTAATCTCAAAAACTACTGGTTCTAATTGAAAAAATATGTTTGTGTTTCGTAGACTATTCATTGAGGAAGGCTTTAAGAAACAAAACATCACGCTACGATCTGTAGGAGCCGAGCAGAGGGTGAAACCGCGCGACTGTAGCAAGTGTCCAATAAGAATGAAAATAAGGTAAAGATAATGATGATAAGACAATTCATTTTGACCAAGAACTCTTGAAAACCTGGTTACTTTTTAAGTTCTTAGCTCTTAAGTAACCACGAAGCTAGATATTTCTTCTACTCATACCAGCCAGTCAGCAATTATTATTGCGCAAGAGTGACAACAGCAAAAGTAAAGGGAAATGGCTTATTATTTCGCTGTGGACAGTTTAATAATCTGTCATTACTTATGTGTTGCATACTCTGTAACCAATGAAGACGTTTATTCATACATACATTGCCATGGATCGTGGCTGTGGTAAGTAGTTTTTTGCCATCATCATACACATCATGTTCCATGAATACGTTACAAGAAATATTGTCATTACAACTTTGTAGAAAATCTTCGTTTTAAGTATGTTCAGTAACTGTAATATTATTAAACCTAGAATAGCAATCATTCTTTTATATTCTTTATTCTTTTTTTTAATCTTTGAAAAGATACCTTAGTGCAGTCGTAAGAATTAGTTGAATTACTTATCAATCTTTCCCATGGTGACCATAGCGTCGGTTTTC